TCGCTGCGTCGAAGCACGCGTCCCATGTCCCGATGCGGTTAGCCTGCGAAATAAGGTCGGCGGCCTTGGCGTCTTTAAATTTCTTATTTCGTCGTCGCCGCAGCGCCGCGGGAGGCAGGGAGATATTAATAGACGACGCAGCAACGCGCTCCATGAGTGCTCTCGGGTTTTGCTGGGGAGAGTTACGGGGAGAGGCTGCTGGACGGCGGAGCAGAGTATGCGGGCAGCGAGGTGAGTCCGCCGAGCGCGGTGTCTCAAAGAGCAAGCGAGAGAGAGAGAGAACTTACGAGTTGGCAGGGAGCGACAGGGGGGCTTCCCTGCAGGCGCCTGGGAAGTAACTAACTAACTAAGCGGCGCCCAGACCGACCAACTTCTATTATTCCCCGACGAGTCCAGAGGGTGAGAGGATAACTAAGTCCCGAGCGAGGGGGAAGGAAACCAGCTCACGGCCCCATGTTGGCTGACTGACCGCGGGCGAGGTCTGCCTGATCCGCAGCGAGCGCAGTGCCTGCCGACGAACAGCAAGAGTTGGGTGCGTTGGCCACCAAGGGGGATCATCGAAAGCCAGCAGGATCTTTTAACTAGGGTGAACCGATCTCTTGGTTTAAGCAAGGTACATGACGATATGCGATGTATTTTTTTACGATGGAGTAAATTAGGCGCCCGCCCTTGTGGCAGTCCTTTTGGCTGAAATTACGCACCCATGGTCAGCGATGAGACATGTCCACGCGTTCGAGCCCGGTCGATTACCTTTACCGTACCCCCACCGTCACCTAACCTTGCCCAGAGCGCGACTAGCGTGAGCTCGAAGGACGCTGTTGGGCTGAGCCGAGACTCCAACGTTGCAATATCGACTCATATCGAATATCTTGCCTCTCTTCCATTTGTGCGACTCGGCTGCGTAAATCTTGGAGCGTGAATAATAAGTTGTTTTGTGCCCCTTACAGGCTACACGGTTACTCAGTACGTGTTTAGGTTGATGTCCGGGTCTGACAAAGGCTTAGTAGGGTGTTATCTAAACTACAGGGTCAATCGCGGTTACGATGGTATGATGGTCATGCCATCTTACTGTTTACATCAGCGCTGTTAATGCCACACCTGCCCCACAGTACCTACTCTCCAAAGCACGGAGTCCGGAGTATACGGAGTTGCTAAACCAAGGGGCTTGTCAGGCGTGGTGGTACAGAGTAAGTTGTACCTGGTATATGCTGACTGATGTATGGAGTAGTTATATGGAGTATGATATGTTGATCAATACTAATTAAAGAGAATTACTGGCTGTTCAATGTTGATAGACATCGCCTGACATTGCCGATGACTGGAGATATCGACACCTGTCCTTTAGCATGACATGCTGTGGATCTAATTCTGAATATCTTCTTGCCAGCATCTGATCAGTTGAATGATAGGGAAATACCTGTCATTGACTGATCTGATGGCCAACTACTTATCTCTCCGATCTGCTATGTCGGAGGAGACATGAGATTTATCACTTATATATACGGAAGATATACCATATGGCCCTGACTTTAAATGGCCTGTTGATTATATAGAGCATACTCGGGGGAAATATTCTTTGGATGAGGCTCTTTTTGAGTTCCTTCGGAGATGTTGAGCACCTCCAAAGTTTACTTACTTCCCCCTACAAAGGGAGTGTTCTTTGACCATATATATCAGCCGGATCATATGGCTCACCTCACTGCAGGCTCCCTATTCCGCATCCTTTATGACAAGTAAAGGGACGCATTTTTCGTGCTTTGTATGAAGCTGGAGAAGACAGAGCCTGATACGGAGAACTGGCCCTAAAATAAACGCATAGAAAACATATCATATACCCCGTCCGGCGAACCCTGGAAAGATAGCTTGAGCGGCCCGAAATGCTCCGCTACGGATGAAATGGATCGACATTGAACTGCCTGCTAGACGAAGTGTTTATTCTCAACTCATCTCCCGTCGTCAATAGGCCATACGGAAGATAACAAAGCCCTGTGACTGGTAATTCAGGCACTTTTCTTTTTCTTTTCTTTTCTTTTCTTTCTTTTTCTCTTTTTGGGTAGCCTGGTGCATTATCTTTCGGCGCCGGGAGCTTCAGTTCAATATCTCCTCGTCCTCACCCTTCCGCCATTCCGGTGCCTGTAAGGGGCGCCTAATCTTACTCAAGCCATCTTTTCCCCTGGCACTTCTTTAAACGCATTTAATATCCCTATTTTCTCTCATCCACTGGCATGAGAACAGATATTGGCCTCAGCACTATACTGCAATCGAGGAATTTCCATCCGCCCGATCTGCAACTAAGAAGCTGAGGCATCCGAGAACAGAATAGCGCTACACTGGCGGAGGGGCATCGTGTACTGCTCGACACCCGAGTAGTGTCTAATTTCAACTAGTTATTGGGTATACATCTGGACCAAAATGACCCTGGTGATTACCCAGAGCAGGACAGCGTGCATAGGTTCGGAAGATTGATGGGAATGAAACCAAACTGGAAAACTTCTGTGTCTGTGACGCATTAGTTGACTGCTACGACGGAGTAAGGACCGAGATAATCAGGCTAACTGGCTCCCATTAGCTATTAAAGTCAGTCAGGCATTAACAGGGCCCATTTTATGCATATTTATAATAATGTACCTGGGTCGTACAGAGTATAGCTGTTGAGGACGTTTCAGCTTGACGTCGTACAGGGACATAAGGAGACGCCCTTATTAACGAATTAATAACTAGGTATAGGCACGAAGTTAAGTTAGATTTATATCTTTCTTGTTCCTTTTCCGCTCTTCTACCATTCCTGCAAGGACGTAATTACTCATTACTCCATAACATTAGATCCCGAAAGCATGTCTCCAGTCGAAAGTCTACAAGGACTTTCTCATAGTCTCGATCTGCTTCAGGACGGCCGATCGGCTGGTACCGCCGATAGCAGACTTAAGCTCAACGGATTTCTCGTAGTTGAACACCTCTAGAACATCATCACCAAGTCGCTCATCAACACTCTTAAACTGAGCAAGTGTCAGCTTATCCATGGGGACGTTCTCCTTTTCTGCCAATGCAACAACGCGGCCCGAGATGTGGTGGGTTTCTCGGAATGGAACTCCCTTTCGAACCAAGTACTCGGCAAGATCAGTAGCAAGCATGTCGGGGCTGAGAGCAGCGAGCATCTTCTCGGGGAACACCGTGAGGGTTGCGAGGACACGGGTTGCAATCAGGATGCTGTCCTTGACGGTCTTCATGCTTTCGATCATTGGCTGAACGCTCTCCTGTAGATCTTTGTTATAAGTAGATGGGATGCCCTTGATGGTCATTGTTAGGCCAGCCATGCTACCGAATAGTCGTGCTGATTTGCCACGAAGAAGTTCAAGAGAATCGCCTGTATGCCATTAGCAGATGCGCTATGATATCAACCGCCCATTCAAACGGTATGAGCAAGTGCTTACAGTTCTTCTTTTGTGGCATCAGCGAGCTGCCGGTGGTGTATGCGTCAGACAGCCTGACGAAACCAAACTCCGTCGTGCTATAGATGATCAAATCTTCACTCCAGCGAGACAAGTGCAGCATCAGTGTTGAGGCCCACTGTAGAGCCTCGAGTATGAAATCTCGGTCTCCAACACCGGCCATGCTGTTCAAAATCAGTCCCTCGAAACCAAGCTCTTCGGCCATGGCGACTCTGTCAATTCCAAAAGCGTTTCCAGCAAGAGCTCCGCATCCGAGAGGACACTTGTTGACGTGTTTTATCACCTCACGGAGACGTTCGAGGTCGCCTAGGAAGGCAGAGCCGTAGCTAAGCATCCAATGACTCCATCTTACAGGCTATACGCGAAATATTAGCTCTGAACCGCTAGGTGCAAGTGTACGGAGGTGTCATACCTGTCCACGCTGAAGATGGGTATATCCAGGCATCAAATAGTCGATGTCCAAAGCAGCACGATCCGTTAGAATGGTGAGCAGCTCAACGAGGAACTTTTCAGCTTCACGCAGCTCGTCCCGAAGCCACATCCGCAAATCAGTAGCGACCTGATCATTTCGGCTTCGACCACTATCAAGCTACCCGTTAGTTCCTTTTTTTTTTTTTTTTTTTTTTTTTACTGCCTCCTCTGCGAAGATCGTGGTATCAAATACCTACGTATGAAGCTTGCCCGCAATATCCTTCCCAATAATCTCACCCAACCGACGCTCATTGGCAGTGTGAATATCCTCATCTACACCATGCTGAATGACGAATTTATCGTCCTTCCATTCCTGAAGGACCTGGTTCAATCCCTTTTCAATGGCAGCGAACTCCTCCTGTGTGAGAATGCCGGTCCCAACGTTGGCGCGGGCAAAGGCGATCGAGCCCTTGATGTCTTGGGCATAAAAGGCCTTGTCGAAGTTGATTGATTCGTTGTAGGTGACCATCAACGGGTCGAGTTCGCCTGTTTGCCGTCCGAACCGTCAGTACCAATGTCTATAGTAGATAGCACTCCGTATTGACGTATAGAAGATCACTCTGGGGTAACTAAGGGACGTGGGGGGAGGGCGGCTGCTCTGCTTCTTTACTCACCGGAGAACCTTCCACCCCAGAGCTTGGTTGCCTTCTGTGCTGATGCCATGGTTACTGCTTCTCGCGCGGAGTATGAGTGTCAATTGATCGCTTAATGAATGCTTCCCCGAGCCCGCACAGCCTGGCTGGCTCTTATATCCTCTGCTGGTCGTCGTACTTTGTGGAGGGACGCCCTTCTGATGACTTGGCTCCACCGCGCTGGCGACGGCTAAGGCGATTTTTCTTATTGGGCGCTAGTTAGCTAGATCGAGAATTAGGTAATAATAACGAGATATAAAACACTTCTTCTTCTTGCTAAGGGGAAGCTGTCGACGGCCGGGTCAAGTGAAGGGCGTAGAGCCAGATGGATGTTGAAGCAAAGGCGTACTCTCATTCAGTGATAACTAACTAGTTATTGACACTGACATCTACTCTAATTAGCTACTTCGGTAATATATGTACTCAAAATCACCAGCTGGTATCTAGATCACAGCTTGACCTGGCCGGCATTGAGCTTCTCCCAGTCCTTCTTCTCGAACGGCACATACGTCTTCCCTCTGAGCCAGTAAAGCAGGTCCTTGCTGTTCTTGCTCTCGAGGACATTGGGGTCAACGCCCTCTGCACGCAGCGAGGTCTTCTGCTGCTTGTTGTTACCCGTCGTCTCCAGCGCGCGGGTGATGCGGAGGAACAGAGGAGCAGCATACTTCGGGAGGTTCGCAGTGACATGCTCGCCCAGGGAGGAGAGGAAAGCCGCCGACGGCTCCAGCTTTTCGGCATCAGGATCGACTCCTTCCATGATCAGGGCGGCACAGCCAGCACGGCCTTCGTGGTGAGGCAGTAGCACGCCGTAGACGTTCGTCTCGTGGACCTGGGGATGTGACCCGAGGACTTCAGCAACCTCGTTGGTGGATACATTCTCTCCTCGCCATCTGAAGGTGTCGCCGATGCGGTCGGAGAAATACCATCGTCCCTCGGCGTCGTAACGGATGACATCGCCGGTGCGGAACCAGGCGTCGCCTTTCTTCAGGACATCTCGTAGGACCTTGGTGTTACTGGCGTTGGGGTTGTTGAAGTATCCTTGAAATTTATCCTTGATATTTGCCGCATCCAGAGCATATAGGAGCTCTCCCGGCTCACCTCGGGGCACCCGGTGGCACAGTCCCGTCTTTGGGTCTCGCCATGGTAGTTCCGTGTCATGGTCGAGCTTGACGATGGCGGCAGAAGTACCGAGAATCAGGTCGGCAATCAGGCCAGACCGCCCGATAGATCCAGCAGTGAAGCTGTTGGACGAAAGATTCCATAGTCCAGAGGTCGACTCGGTAGCCGAATAAAGCTCGCCTATCGTTGGGATTCCAAACCGCTCCTTGACTTTGTCCCAGACATCTGGTCGTAGTCCGTTGCCATATGCCAGTCGAACATTGTGCTTCTTGTCGAGATCCTCGCCGGTCTCAGGGTCCTTTTGGGCTGGAGTGGCTAGGAGATAGCGCATGGTTTCTCCAACATACTGCACGACCGTGGCATTACTACCTCGGACATCATCCCAGAAATGAGAGGCAGAGAACTTGTGGCCAATACAAAGAGTGGTCCCACTAGCTAAACAGGCGAAGAATCCTAGGACTGCAGCTGTCGAGTGATAGAGTGGCATACACTAGTTTGATATTGTTAGACTCAGCTTGCCACTAGGTAAAGACGACATACCGTGTAAACGCGATCAGATTTCGAGAATCCCAACCATCTAGAAACAAATGTTCCCGCGAGAAGCAGTTTGGCCCAGGGGAGGATGGCCGCCTTGGGCATGCCAGTGGTACCGCTTGTATAAATGAGAATTCCAGCATCAGACCGCGCTTGACCCTGCCGATCCGTATCCGGAGCTCTCCAGGGTTCTCTCTGCAAGATCTTGGCCTGCAAGCTCTCGTCATGGAACACCACCTCCACAGCACCTCCCTTTTCCCTGAAGTCTGGAGCTCCTAGCTTCTCAACCATTTCTGGGGGAACAGCATGTCTGACCTCGCTGTCTACTATAAGCAACCTTGCAGTAGACACCTTGACGCAATGCGCCAACGGAGCAGCCGTGAGGTTATAGTTGATGAATGCCGGAAGGGCACCAATACTCCATAATCCCATCCAGACAAACACGAAAGTGGCCGAGTTCATGAAGTCCATTGCAACGACTTCTCCCGCCTTGACATTGTGAACGTTCCTGAACCAGTTTCCGTATCTAAGGGCGATGTCGTAGGTCTGCCGGTACGTCCACTCCTTGCCCTGGTACACGATAAAGACCTCCTTTGCCTTCTTGGAGTCCAGCGCGAATTCCTCCAGCAGGTAGAAGTGATTCCACTTGTTGCTCCGGTCTTTGAGGGCTCCTCGTATAAGTGCTCGCACATATCTTGTTATCAGCCCTAGATCATGGGATATGGCTAGCTTCGCGTTCAGGTAGGCGAATGCCGCAACAGCAGCTGGACCAGCCACTGATAGGGGCATATCTGGTAGATCTGGGAGCCCTGCTCTCAAGAACCGCAAAAACGAATTAGCCAACTGCTAAGCTGATAGACAATAACTAACGAGGACACCGCGGTGGTTCCATACCTGCCATGGATGCCATGCTGCCTATCTTCTCAAGGACGCTCATGGCTGCCAAATGATGCGAAAGAGGAGCTCCGTCTGAAACTTGGTAGTTATATCTATGCGCAAAAGGCTCACACAGTGGCAAGGCCGCGCAGCAAGGTAGTTCACCTAACTATCGAATAGCTCGCCCTCGTCCGGTGCCTGATCTCGATCCTCCCTGTCCCAGCTGTCGTCGATGAGCGATCTCCCGGCCGCAGAGACCATGGTCCAACGATAGGAGACGACGCGGGACGGGGCCGATCGGGAATAATATATGTCAAGAGACCGAGTATGGGGCAAAGGGGAAGACGCGGCGGGCGGCGGGCTGGTTGAGGCTTCTCGGGGGCAGCGAGAAAGAAGCGGCGGCAGCGCGTGAAGGGACGAACCTCGGCAAGTCATTCAGGGGGGCGCTGATCCGCGCAGCTGGCTACTTTTTAGGGGGCAAAAGGCAGAGAGAGAGGACAGGACGCAGCAGGCCGCGAGAAGGCGTGAGAAAAAGGGCCTGCTGCTGGCTGCTGCTGGCTGCTGCAGCTCGGCTTCGTCGCAGCGAGGGATAAGATCTCCCAGTGCTGGGGCAGCGGCATGTGAAGGGGGTTTGGCCAGGGATAGTTATACGAACGCCCAGCATGCAGGACGAAAGGGCCGATATACTGACAATATTAACAACCGTAGACGGCGGATGCTGCAGGCCTGCCGGCTTATCATTCACTAAAGGACTGGTACTACGACTTTAAAGGACCTTGAGCTGTCGTTGACTGCTAGCACTACTGCTTCATGAAGCATCTCCACATAGTTATCAAACGCAAGGAGAGATAGAGACTATAGAATAGTTATTGGCCTCAAGGATAGCTCCAGACAGATACGTTGTGTCAAGACGAATGTCTAAAATGCTCAAAGAAACTCCCTAGGCGCGGGAGGAAGGCCATCTCATGATCATGGGAAGACATCCATCACTGTGTTCCCCATGATTATTCTCAATAGAACCTGAGGCCGTACATCGTTCCATCAAGATATTGTCATCCAAAAGCATTCCGGTGTTGAATTTTGTTTGGACATCTCCTGGTAGAGTCCGCGTCCAGCTCTCAGACGAAAAGACTCTAAACTCCCAATGGATGCTCAAAGTCACCATCGCTTATATAGTCCATCATCAACTCCACCAAGGTATTGCCCTTCCGAGCCTCTCATGGGTTCGCTCTATTCATAGCGTAAACCTAGGTATACTCTGGGAAAGTATGCAAGTCTGTAGGATCTTGGTTGCCACGGATATAATACCAGGTCCGAGTTTATTCACTTGTTTCCGTGATCGCCATAGGGAGAAGGTCTTTGTGCCGGTGCATAATGGAAGAATAGCTGGCTTCACATCAGCCGAAACCACAGCACAGGCCCTGTCTTTGGCATCATAACGTCTACGAGTCTGCCGAAGATCCCATATCCAGAGCAATTTTTAGATCCTGGCATGAGATCCTAAGGACAGTGGATGCCATATCGTTGAGATCATGCAATTGGAGTCCTCCTTGGTACTCTCGGTCTCCGGAAGTCATAGCCGTAGACGCCTCTTGCCATGTCTGGGGTAATATTCAGGGTATATAGAGCGGTGTATGCGGGAGCCTTGCCGGCACCAGGAGAACAAGCCGGACGGTAACCAGGAGGCCTGCAAGATCTCTGTCCAAGTGATACTCTCGAAGACAAGCAAAGAGCAGCCCATTTTGTAACTCGGACCCCTCGGCCAACTGAGCTGAAGCCGAGCCCTTAAGCGACTTGAGGGATCCCAAGCCACGCTTGGTACCATGGGCAGCCATGCCGTTGCTATCTGATGCATCTCGGGAGTGGGAGAATTAACTAGTTACTTCAAACCTGCATGGCTCCAACGGCTGAGTTTCACAGCGGTAGAGGGACACCCTTGCATGTTTCCGCACCTTTAAATTCTTTATTTGAATGTCTCGACCGACAGGCTGGATAGCTTGAGACGGTCTTCAGGGAAATGAGCAGTGCAAAGGGGAAAAGAAGCTGCAGTGGATGTCGACATCCTGCGTGCGAGGCAGCAACTCCGTCTGACGCGTCTGGAACAGCATTTAGCAGGTATAATTTCCTTTTGCTGGTGGGATGAAACATGCTGGAACGGCGAGAGATGGATCCTTGATGCTGGCTGGCACACTGAGACGCAGTTCGAGGGTATGTATGGCTATCATTCACTTCCCAGCCCGTGGCAGCCTCAATCAATATGACCCGTCAATACAAGTCAATAATAATATGATGGATGTCTTTAGTAAGAGTGGATGAAACCAAAGAAGAAAAGTGGACGACGAGATTCAGCTAAAGTGAAAATTGAATTGATGCTGGCTATGTACACTCCCTTGCCTGTCAAAAACTATGTACATGAAAAAGGCGAAGAGATAATCAAAAGTAGGACATTTCAAGCATGTCAAAACATGTGTGTGATACTCCGTTATGCGTTAAATTTAGCAGTCGGCAGGCATGTCGAAGTTGTTGACACGGGTCTTGCCGTGCTTGTAGTTGGCACCAAGACCACGCTTGGAGAAGGCCTTCATGAGAGCACACTTGTTCTGGCCGTTGGTGAGGGCCTGGTCGGCATCGATGATGGCATCACGGGCCTGCATGAAGTTGGGGTTGCATGGCATGAGGGTCATTCCGTCGAGGACGAGCTTCATGGCGAGGTTGCGGCCGTCAGATGGAGCACCGTTGACGAACTTGGGCATGATGTTCTTGCTCATGCCGTGCTCATCGATCAAGTTCCACAGGACTTCGTAGAGGATGGTGGCCCAGACAGTACCAATGCCGTGGACCTCGTCCATGCCCTGCACATCAGCATAAGTGTAGGGGTTGGTCTGCATGTTGGTAGAGTATGGGTATTCACGGATACCGCCCTGCATGTTGGCAGCCCATTCACCCATGGTGTAGTCGGTGTCGTGGGTGTCGTCCTGCTTGAGACGGATGGCAGTGGCGTAGAAGTCACCCCAGCCCTCACCCATACCACCGGCCTCGAGCTCAGTAAGGCAGTTGGAGTTGGCGGGACCACCGCAAAGACGGTTGGAAAGACCGTGAGTGTACTCGTGGATGACGATACCGGCCTCGAGGTCACCATCTCGGGATGGCTGGGCGGTAGTCCAGGTGTACATTCTCATGCGGCCGTTCTGGCCATCTGGGGGAGTAGCGAAGTTGGCGTTGTTGGTGCCAGAGCCGTCCTGGGCGTTGCAGATAGCGAAGTCGTTGCCCTCACCTCCCTTGCCGTTGTTGTTCATCTGGAAGTTACCGGCCTCCTCAGTGAAACCGAGAGAATAGAGAACGTCGTGGAAGGTGTTGGTGGTGTAGAAGAGCTGGGTGATAGCAAAGTCCTTGTACTGCTCTGGCTCCATCTGCTCGTTGTACTCGTAGACGAAGCTGAGCTCGGGGCTGTCTGGGCGGTAGTTGTTCTCCCACTGCTCACCACCGCTTGGGTTGTCCTGAGCAGCAATGTTGTTACCGCGGGTGACGGTGTAGTCCATCTGGCCGTCTCCGTGCCAGGTGAATGGAGAGCCAGTGCCAGTGGTGTTCCATGGGTCCTTGATCATGGTGGGCTGGCCCTCAGTTGGGTCGTTGAGACCCCAGGCGAAGACCTTGTAGTCAGCAGAGGCAACGTAGTCGACAACGTTGTGGACGGTCTCGGTCTCCTTGGAATCAACATAGGAGAGGAGCCAGTTGTCTCCGACATCAGTCTCAACTCTCCAGGTGAGGTGGAGCTTGCCATCCTTCTGGATGTAGACGAGCTTGGCCATTGGGTCGGAGAGAGCACCAGAGGTACCCTCGAACTTGAAGGTCTCGGCCTCCTTCATTGGCATAGCCTTAGCGCTCTGTGGCTTGACTGGGAGCTTCAAGGTCTTGATAGCACCATGAAGGGCCTTGACCGGGTCAGAGAAGTCACGCTTAGTCAGTGGGTTGGTCTTAGGCATCTCTCCCTCGTAGAAGGAGTTTCCGAAGGTGAAGACCTTGCCATCACGTCCAATCTATAGTGGTCCATTAGTATAATTACGGGGCCATTGATTGATGAACGTGAAAGAATATACTTACGTTGACGTTGAAGTCGGCGTTGTCAATATCAATGCCGTGGGCGGTCTGCTTGAAGTGGACATGGCCGATGCCGTTGGTGCCGATGTAGTGGTCCTTGACGGTGCGGAAGGTCATGTTGGGGAAAGTGCTCTTGACGAGCTTGGTGGCAGTAGCAACGTAGTCGTCATCCTTGGAGTAGGAGAAGGAGTGCACCATCTGGGAGGTGGCCTTGTGCTCGGAGTACTTGGCCATGGAGGCAAAGCGGTAAGGGTTGATATCAATGCCGCGAGGGCTGAGACCAGATTGTTGACGGGCTGGGAGACCAGCGACGCCCAAGGGCAAGGCTGCCGCGAGGCCAGCAAGCAAAAGTCCGTGCATAGTGTCTGTCTTCAGAGAATACCTGCTTCACTTGAAAGACCAAACAAGAAAAAAGAGAGTGAAGGAAGGATGTGAAGGAGTCAGGCTTGTTGTCCGAGTGAGGAACTCTGGCTTGATTCTTCTGAGAGGACTTCGAGGGACATCTTCGACATCTTATATAGAACTCCTTCACCCTTGCTAATTCCCATTCAAGGCCTTATCATCTCTGCCGTGTCGGGTCTCTTGGTCTTGTGCCCGGGGTATGGTGGATGAGGATACGGTCCTGGGGTATAATTTTTTTTTGCACTTTGGCCTTCCATGATGTTTCCTCGTGAGCTAGGCCAACTAGCATGCAGCCTAAGGACGGCTTTCACTCGGCCAAGAGAGCTTGATTGTGCTGGACTGTGTCTGATTGTATGGTATGGGTGGAAGAATCCCCGCTCATCTCGGTCCGTGTCAAACCTCATTCATATCAGAAGGAGGCAAAGGAGTGAAGACGGAGCATAACTGACAACTGGCCTGCCCTTGTCCGCCAAGCAAGGGGAGATATTATACGGGGTTCCTTGCGCTTCCACTGGGGAGCTAACGCAGCTTCAGCCCCGTCGATCGTCTGAGTCGGTCATGCCGAGGCTTGTATATCGTCCTACCACAGACATCCTCCTGGCGCTGCTGGTTCTGCTGGTCCATATATCAAACATCAGACCCGTATCCTGGGAAATAATAGGTCACAGCCTAGCTCCATTCTTGTCCCGTCAAGTGTAGTGAGGTCCGAAAGGAACAGGTTTTGAGTAAGCAGGAGCTCATCGGTTCGCCAGTAATTGCAGTCATGCGGCCGGCGTTCTTTTGCCTCCACCTACCTTAATTGATGCCGGTGATGCTGTTGCGAATGATGATAATAATGGCACAACAATAGCAGCCTGGATGTAATTGTCATTGGCAGATGTCCTCTGGCTCATCCGGGGTTGCAGTGTAGATCTCCGTAAGGGGGTTCTACAACGAGGCATCGAAGACATGTCGAGACAAGAAGGCGTCCACCCGGCTGGGCTCGGACGAGACACGCTCTGCCCTCTTCCTCTCAGCTTGCCTGTCTCTCTCAGATGGCTTTTTCCATCCTTCACGATGCTTCTTGGTTTGTTGCTTGCGGGGAAAGACATGCTGGTAGGATGATCGCTCCATGGGCGTCTCATCGCCTGCCCCTTCTGCGATGGCTCCCGCTCCACGGAGCATGCTAGTGTTTGAGGACGGCCAAAAGCCGGTGCTAAGCTTGCCTGGTGCCTGAAAAAAAGCTTCAGAGGACGCAGTTCGAAGCTGTCTAAGCAGCACAGAGGCAGCACTCGTCGCCAAAGAAGAGTCGCAGGTTGATGGTTTGACGTGAAGATCTGATGGACCAGCCGACCAGGGCCTCCCCCTGTCCAAAGCCCCTTTTCTCTCTTGGCCTTCGTCACCCTCCCACGCCCTCGATGGCATCCATGTCGACCACACACTTCTTCAGCCTGCGGTTGCTGGAGATGGTGATGTTCGGATGTTCAGGCACAGCGAGTTGTAGTTGAGCTGATCTACGAACAGCCTTTTTTTTTTTTTTTGGCGAGCACAGTCCGTGCGGTCCACCGTAAGCGGTGACTGTCACGACACCCGCCATCACTAACTAACTAGTTATCGACAACCACAGCCAACTAACTAACGACGTCTCCAACAACTACAGCTGCATATGCGGCCACAACAACAAGATCTCATCGACAGACAAGTCTGTCGTCGCATGCTCTGTGGGGAAGGCGGGAACAAACCGGGGAGCCAGCTTGTCCGTGGCAAAAAGGCTCTGGGGGAGGGAAAACACTGCATAAAGCAGTCAAACTACTCCGGAGATCGGGCTGCAGCAGGCTGCGGACTGTCATCTGTCATCGTGAGTTCGGATGCAAGTCAGGAAACAAGCTAACCTTCCTCAGTCGTATCCCGGCTCGGCATGCGTGGATGGCATCTCCACAGAACGATAAGTACAGCAGATATTGAAGCCCGATTAACGGCGTATGAAGCCCGTTTCCAGAAAATGTCGAGGTAGCATTCCGTCTTGTCGGCTATTATAGTTATATCTATCCTGTTATTAATATATATCGTCTACCAAAGAGGATGGGTTTATACCCGGTTGCAGCACGTTCGCTCGATCGCCTGCCGTCACATTTCATGTCATGCCAAAGAAGACTGTATACTTCCACTATAAAAGCCCGGTGGTCGGTGCTATTGCCCCGGTTTGCAGTCGCATGGATCCCTCCAAGTCCACTTTCGTTCTCTAATTTTAAATGATTTCCGGGACCCCAGGCCATTTAGCCTCTCGTACCCCTGGCCCATGGCATGTGTCGAACCTAAGTTGGGGTTACCAGCGAGGATCGTTATATCCAGCAAACAGGCTTCCATATGCCTCACATTCCCAAAGAGGCGATCTCCTGGGCATCATCTTCGACAGATATGGAAGGACGAAAGAAATGCTAAGCATTCGGAAACTCCCGGCTTGTGCTGTTGAATTCCGGGGTGAACATATAGAGGGAACCCAGAGAAACGGTTTTTTTTATTTTTTTTTGGAGTGAGGCCTTGGTTCCCGATCACTGCAACCCACACAGCTAGCCATCCGCTCGCCCGTGGAATACTTAGGCCTTGACGAAGAGTAAGTGTGTCTGTCGGTATCTTGCTCCCTTAACCAGCCGGCTTGGCAAGCTTGAAACTCCTGTCTGGCTCGGGAGGAATCTTGGTATGTGAGATCCCAATAACACTTCGCGAACTCCCTTAACTACTACTTCCTGGGCATTATCATGAATTACCCCAGCCAAGGCGGAGCAGGAGGGACACTTCAACGTGGCGACTATATTTGCAGTCTATTATGGGCGGAGTCAGGAGCAGAGTCAGGAGCAGACGAAGCGGCATCAGGGCTGCCGAGGATGAGCTGTCTCATCCCGTACTCCTACAAGGCCCCTTGAATTTTTTGAGCCAAACGGCTTTCTCTTCCCCTTGAAGAAAGGAAAATAGCCGCCCCCGGAACGAAGAACTTACGCTCTCGTGTCGCTTACGGAGTACCAAGGCGACTGGTAAAATGTTCCGGTCAGCCGCACAGCTAAGGAGCTAACAGAGGTATGCAACGAGTGACCAACGACCATGCAACTGCTCACCTTCTCGACGATCAAAAAAGAGTACAGTCATTTTCATGAATGGACAGTCCACATTCTGCTTTTCCTGATGGCCTGGAGACCTTTCTGCCCAATTATCCTGCCGTCGCCTGCCATCTGTGCCGATCAGTGTTGGCTAAGCCCCGTCGCATGCACATCACTGGAGGCTAGATATTATTCTAGAAAGCGATCGACAGCTCTCTTTCGCGCTTTCTCCGCATGTTTTCTACTTGTTCTTCGTATGAAGTACTCCATATTTTCTTTGAATGCCTGGTCCACCTATCCTCTTCCGACCGCGGCCAACCACGCTGCTCCGGACGGGTGAACATCTCCTGACTCATGGATTGTCCTCCGTCGCGAATAGTGCCTACTTCACTCAAGTCCGATGCTTCTGAATACTCGCAGTGATGATCGCCAGAGTCAAGAAGTCATGCCTCGTGCTTCTCCAATAACCGTCTCAGATGACTGAAGGGCAGGACAGGGAACGAGGAATTTTCTATCCTCTGCAATACGGAGTAGCTCTGTCAATATGGAAAATGTTTGATGTTCATCAGTGGAATGAAACAGCCACGAGAAAATCTCCAGACGGCAGGTAACACGGAGTATAAGCGAGGCGAGCAATGCTTAAAACAACGCTTTGGGTCCTTTGACATTTCCGACGGCCCTCTCTACTTAAATTTACGCTAAAAATAATACACACTTGAAGGTCAGAGGTGGATTTTGTAAGTAGCTCCATTTATTACCCAAAGATTCTATCGTATTGCAAGCTTTCTCCCACCTGCCAGTGGGACATTCTCATAATCTTCCTCCATGAACTCCTTCAACAAAGCCAGCCCAGTCTTAAACTCCTCCACATCAATGGCGTACCCAATACGAACATATCCTGCAAACAAACTGTTGGAGCCAAACCCCTGTGATCCAGGAACCAGCAATACTCCTTTCTTCTGGAGAAGCTGATGGCAGAGCTCGAGATCGTCGACAGGCTTTCCCATTTTTGAGAACTTGACGAATGCAACGCTGCTAGCAACTGGCCTAACCCAGTCGCAGGCCCACTTGTGTTTTTCTATAAACGACTCGAGAAGAACGAGGTTTTCCCGTGCGAGGTCTGTGTTCTGCTTTAGCAGCGCATGCAAGCAGTGACCATCCAGGGCATACGCAGCCACCGCTTCGTCGAGCTGGCTGACGGACAGAGTCGTGTACGCTCGCAGTTTTGTACACTTGTCAATAAGTGCCCTGTTGCGAGATGCGATCCAGCCAACGCGGATGCCAGGCAGCGAGTAGACTTTGGACATTGATCCGGTGACTACTACATCATCGTAGCCCAGCGAGAGCGCTGAGGGCGGGAACTCCTTATCTCCAGGGTGGATAGAATGGAATAGGGGCCTGAATATTTCATCACTGAAGACTAAAATCGAGTTCTCCCTGGCCACGGCAATGATTTCGATCAATGTTGACCGAGGGATGATTGCACCTGTGGGATTTTGCGGGTTGCTGTACCCGTACAGATTTCATTTAATCAAAGTTTCTCATTTCACAAAGGGATCGTTAGTTAACTAGTTACTTACTTTAGCACAATCATCCTAGTATTCGGCTTGATGAGAGTCTTCAGCTCCTCAACGTCCAGCTTCCACTTATCATCCTCTTTCGCCTGCCAAAAACTGACCTCTGCGCCCAGAGTTTGGGGCACGGCATACAGCAGTTGGTAAGTTGGATAATGAACAATGACATGATCTCCGGGCTTGCATAGAGCCTGGAAGACCAAATAATTAGCCGGCGAAGCACCAGCGGTAATGGTAACATTATCAATTGGCAGCGGCAGAGGTGTCTTGACGGAATACAAGCCAGCCAGGGTCGACCGCAGCGCCTTCGAACCTACCATCTCGCCATACCCGAGACATCTGGACAGAAGCTGTGCCGTCAAGGGCCCCTCATTAGACTCTGACTTGTCTTCAGAAAGCTCCTTTAGCTCCTGTATCGACATGGGCTTTGCGCAGGAGCTGGAGAGGTCATATTTGGCTCCTGTAGCCTTAGTTTCAATCCACTAGAATAGTTACGAATCGCAATCTATGGTTAGTTTAATTATCTCCTTCCCGTCTATGGCGGGGCAGATTGTTAGCTCACGTACTCGATCAACGGCGAGGCAATCAATTTCGGCCATGCTGCAGCTGGTGGTCTAGCAGGTGAAGAAGTGGTTATGTCTGGTTTTGTTGTCGCAGAGAGTCCAAATATATCAAATTAGCAAGCCAGTTAGCCAGTTTATCTGACTACCTAGGTTAACTTAAATGTGATCCCCGCTCCTATTTCTTCCGTGAGTCACCGACTCACCTTTGCAGGGCGTACTATACCATAGAAAGTTCTACAAGCCTCTGTATCATGAAGCGGTTGATATGGAACTATGGGACTTATTTGGGGATGTGTTGTTGGGAGTTAAGATAGCTACACCGAAATCTCCTAGACGAGGGATACAGCTAAGGGGATATAATTCTAGTAAACACCAAAAAGGCCGTCGTGCATCTATCATATAAAGGCATGGCGACTGGCGAGAAAGGACCAGACAACAACTAATAAACAAACAATCGGAGAGCGCTGACAGTACAAGACGACGGTGTCGCCGGGGTGGATGTTATATACAACGATGTCCAGTGAGGAGGGAGGAAGGGGAAGTGGAAGAGGAATGAAATGCCGAACAAACGAAATACTCTATGTGTAATAATGCGATCTTGGGGTTATGCCTCTCATCTCTTCTCGACGAGCAAGAAATGCATGGCTGCGTAGGCCATGATGATGGAAACACCTGAGATAACGCCCAGACCGGCTACGTCATTCCACAAGGCGAGGTTGTTGAAGCCAAACGCACTCAGAATAGACGCACCCGGAACTTCGATGTCGAGGCCATATTTATGATCAATCAACGTCAAGAAAGTGACTTCGTTTACAATCAGAGCCTCGAATGCATAATGGAAGATGGACAACTATATTATGAAACGTTAGAAGAATGAAACTCCGTAAGGACTAAAGGGCTAAAGACTTACGGTTTGTAGCCAGAGTGCCGAAGCTGGAATTGCATCGTGGTTGAGCAGTAAACCGGCAAACAGGAGACTGAACAGCATCACCAAACTGCCAATCAAGTTTGCAACGCCTGGGTCTCGGAAGACGATACCAATAAGCAAGCAAATACCTGCCGCTGCCAGGTTGAAGAGGACGAGGACGAGGATGAATTTCGAAAATTCCGGCCAGTCTGGGATAAGTCCTACCATGGGGTAAACTATGACACCCATTATGATAGGAGGGATCAGTCGCAGGGGTACAATATCGAATAGGACCTTGGCCGTGAAGTAGGTGACTGGAGAGTAATACCCATTGGCACGTTCTCGGACAAAAAGGAGCCGTTCAGAGGAGAAGACGGTCAAACTTGTCAGTGTGCTGAAACCAAATAGGGCAAGGAGGAAGAAAAACAGGCCAAGGCGGTTCTGGAATCCCTTAATGTCGTCCGTGAGACCGTAGAAGAGATATCCAGACAAAACGGCAAGCAGAATTGCGGTTGCATAATGAGTGAGCATAAGCATGGGGTTTCGATAGAGGTTCTTCCAGGTGCGGCTGGACAAAATAATAAATTGTCTTATTAGTCCAACTCTGGCGTAGCCAGTCATTTGGCCGGTCACGGCGTCGCTGGCTTGTTGTGAATTGGCCTGTCCATTGGCAGCAAGGGCGTCTTGAACTGAAGAAGATATTTCGTCACGAACAGCATTGGCCACGTTTGAATTGGCATAGTAGGAAACAAGCACATCGAGATCAGTGACGAATCCAGATGCAATTGGAGGAAGGTGGTCTGGGTCTTGGAGGATTTGCGGTGGGACTTGACCCTGTTGTCTAGAAAGTGGTAGCCATTGCTGAGCACGCTCGGCTAGGCTCATAACATGACCGTCTTCATTATCTGTCTGAGGATCTGGTGGCGACTCAAGCCCAGAACCTCTCTTGCGAGTGTATAACTGTCTGTCTTGACGTTGCTTGAGAGATGATCGCCGTTTGTCCTTGGGTCTCAGTAACGATTCCTGGGCACTGTCCACTGCACTAGCATTATCAATGCTGGCGTTTGAAGCACTGGCAACTGATTTGACGGCCCTCAGGCTGCTGGAAGCAGTTCGGAAGTTGTTGTCATGAGAATCAACATTAACAGCCGGCTCCTCAGTGGATCGGGACTGGCTCGCATGCATTGTCAAATCAACAAGGTAATCTGCAATGTTAAATCCGGGTGGACAGGAGTATCCGATGTTGTCAAAATAGGACTGGCAGCTTGAATATGGCCCTGAAAAGACTGTCTTTCCCTTTCCAAGCAGGATCAACTGGTCAAATAGGGCTACGATGTTGGATCTAGGCTGATGGATCGTGAAAATCACAGTACGGTTGTACGATTTGGCGAGATTGACAAGACATTCTATCACGTTGAAAGCGTTAAAAGCATCCTAGTTCTAAGTTAGTTGGGGGTATTCAAAACTAGAAATCTCAGGTTGAGCAATGGAAGAGAAACAAAATGACACTTACCAAACCGCTCGTTGGCTCATCGAGGAACAAAATGCTCGGGCTTGTAACAAGTTCACATGCAATGCTAACACGCTTCTTCTCACCACCGGAGATACCACGGCCTTTGCCTTCCTCAGACCCTATAAGCTGATCCTTGATATGGTGAATACCCAGCTGTTTTTCAACTTCGTATACCCGCTGTTGTTTAGCTGCATCGCTCATATCCCGAGGCAAGCGGAGCAAAGCACTGTTCAATATGGTTTCGTGGACTGTCAGTGTTGGCAACATGGTATCTTCTTGGTCAACGAAACCAACGACTTTTTTGTACTCGCTGTCGTTGAACTTTTCGCCATTAACGTAGATATCGCCATGAACGACACCCCGTTTATTCTTCCTGGCAAGGATATCCAAGAACGTAGTCTTTCCTGCACCAGAGGCTCCCATAATTGCAGTGACCTGGCCAGGTTTAGCAATACCGCGGATACCACTAAGAATCTGCTGGCCGTTGATATAATAGGAAATATTTTCGAACTGCAGTGATGCTGGCTTATGATCGGCCATGAGCTTCGAGCCTTCGTCATCGGAGTCATCAGCAAGAGCATGATACTGGTTGTAAGCCTTCCGTCTTGATAGGTACCAGATGAGGAGGATGACTCCAACAATAAAAAGTGAACAACCAGCAATGACTCCAGCGATGAGCGGAGTGTTTATGACCTTGACGGGAGGTTTGTACCCGGGTACTGCCGTTTTATATAGACATTCGCTGGAATAACAGTCCAAAAGAATAGACTTGTCGCCAAACAGATCGGATATCACCTTATCGATGACGGGCTCTGAGAAAGCGCTTCCATCCTTGTTGCTGCCGCCTTTGGTAGAGGTCGAAGTGAACTTGGCCGGGCCAGTAAGCTGTCCAAAAAGCGGTTCTAAGCTAACACCGGTGGTCTCGCATAGCATTCGGTCGGGAACGCAGCCGCACTTGATGTTATCGCACTGATAAGTGGTGAGATTCTGGTTCTCCGTTATATCCATGTTCCACTTGCATGTATCCAGTGAACAGTAGAAGGACTCGAGTTGATCGACCCAGACTAGACAAATTACCCGTTAGCTGCGAGCGCAAGCAATCAACGTAGGAATATGGAAGACAGGGCCAGCACTTACACTGAAAGTTGCAAGTCTTGTCTTCTTTCTTGCATGAGAACGTAACCTGCGGCTTCTTCTCCTTGAGCATGTCACGGATCTTTCTGTTGGTGACTTCACACATCTGATAGTTTTCGGCAACAGTCTCTCCTCCATTATGATGTCTGTAACATACTCCTCCTTCTCTCTCCGGCATCATAGCGTTGCAGGCATCGTTGGTCTCGCACATGTTGCAGTTGATCCCAGACCAGCCATCTTTGCACTGGCAGGTCGACCCTTTGCGAGGAGTTCGGTCCCGTCCATCGGGCAGGGAGCCGCACAAGGGCTCAGCGCAGTCATCGCCGCCGAATCCCGGTGGACAGTCGCATTTCCCGTTGAACTTGTTGCATTTGCCGAATTGGTGGCACTTGAAGGCAGGGAGCTGGCAGTTGAAGCACGGCGGGCACTCAGGCGGCCTCGCACTGCGGAGAGTGAAGGGAGTCGCTGCAGTAACGAAGGAATCCGCGGTGCTGTTGATTTCGTAGCCGTTGGCCTGCCATGTCGGCTGTATAGCAGGGAGCAGAGGAAGCAGCCCAAGCAGCGCCAGCCATGCCATCGTTGCCGGTTGGGCGGAGAAGATGAAACGAGCAGCAGTCAAAGGCTCACGGGGGGATCAGGTCGACTTTATGATGGCATCAAGACAGCGTATAGACCAGAGGCTGGTTTTAGAAGCTGTTGGGAGCAGCGAGAGTGTTGGCTCAAGGGACGGGAGCTTCTCTGCCTAGCTCCGGCGGTTGGGCGGTTTTGGGGAGCGGCAAGCTGGACGACGCAGGACGGGCGCACGGCGGGAGAAAACACCGAGATATTGAATGCCGCTGGAGCTCGTCCCTATGCTAAGTATACCAGGCAGGCCTAACGAAACGGGCGACGGATGCAGGAGGCTGCGCTGGTGGATGGGCAGGCAGAAGAGATCGTGGAGAGGATGCGGAGTGTTGAGGTCAAGTTAGTTAGTTAACTAAGAAGCTCGGCGAGGCGCATCGCGGTGACGTTGTTCCGACGCCAGCCAAGATCTAGGAGGGAGGAGACAGTTAAAGGAGACAAGGGAGGCGAGGGAGATGCCCGGTAGACGGCTGTCATTATATCTAAAGGGAATACTCTATAGCAGTGTGAATATATATATATGCACATGTATATACATGTAAAGGGGCTACTCTAGTTGTACAGAAGGCAGTCGGATAAGCCAAACCGACAGCAGGACAAATATATGGATCACCCCAGAGCCGAAGAAGGGCAATCCAGCCCATGCAGACGACCCGAGATTCAGCCCCAGATTGAAGAGGCCTGCCAGGAGCGGCCCGCCGATGAGGGTCCCCATCATGATGATGAGTGAGATGACGGAGTATAGCCTTGCCGAGTACTTCGGGTCGACGAAGGCGGAGATCAAGCTGAGACAGACTGCATTGAACCCGCAACCTAGGGTGTAGATTGCTACTGCACAGATCATCGACACGAAGGTTGGCGAGAAGCCGATGGCGAAGCTTCCAATCGTAAGAAGCACGATACTTATCTTTGAAAGCCACAGATCCTTTTCGTTGCTGGGCAACTTGAGGGTCTTGGATAGGTAGCCTGAAGTAAGCGGGAGGACGAGCAAGAGGAGAACGATACTGACGCAGGCCATGAAAGAATGAACAAAACCGGCCTTTGACAGGGTGATCTCATATCGAGTAGAGGCGTAGAGTAATAGAAGATCGACTTGCTTTCGTCCCAGCGTTGAGAGAAGGAAAGTAGAGAGTATGAGAAGCACGGTACGGTTGCTAAATATGAGCTTGGTTTCTTTCCAGGCCGTTGCAAAAAGTGCTTTCATCTTCGATGCGAGGGAAGACCGAGAAATGGGGCGACGAGCCTCCAGTGACTCCCGAACAGAACCGTGAACAAATCCAGATGGTGCTGAATGAGCCGCACCAGGCTTCAAAACTTGTATAGGAATAGTTTCGGGTACCAGTAAAATCAAGAGACAGCAGACAGTAAAGAATGCAGTGCCGAAGAAATAAGGTACCCATGGGCCTAGCTTCATCATCATGGCGGACCCTATAGCAGGTGCAAGGAGTTGAGCCACCACTGCAGCTAGAGAGGTCTGGAAATAGACGGTTGACCTAGGTTTATCTGTCAGTAACAGATGCATTAAACTCATATTCCCTAGCAACAGCTTCGACCGACCGATTTGCTTCATCAATGACATCAGATATCATTGTCATGACCATTGCATTCGTTACACCAGGCCCTCCACCGATCAGGGCGAAGAAACCCCCGATCCATATTGCTTGAAGGGGTACATAGCGGTAGAACGAGCACACGAACAAAGCCCAGTATGCGCCTAATAGGATACCAGCCATACTCAGCCGCAAGACAAACCTGCGACCATACCTAGGGTTGTCGGCCAATAGGCCATAAGGAAGAAGTAGAATTATGCCTGTATGAAAGCTACATATCAGCTGTTGTTCTGAAGTAAATGAAAATTGGAGCAGCCTTCGTACTTGGAAGTGCATCAAAGCTAGCGCCTATAGCTTGTATATAAGCTACCTGACTCTGTACGGCGTTTGTCTTGCATTCCGACTCTGGTATGTCCTGAGGATATGGGAACCGGTCTGGATGGTGAATATCAAAATAATTCCGGCAGACAATCAGTTCAAAGATGCGAGTCTGCGGTATGAGATCGAAGAATGCCGCAAAATCAAGCACAAACAGCACGGCAATGCATATGACGATGAATTTAGTCTGGTTTATCTTCCTTCTCACGGTGACGGGTTCCCCGGAATCCGACATGGACTCGACGACCTCCTCCTCGTCCGTCTGCAGAAGAGGGTCATCCTGCTCGGTATTCATGAGATCTAGCTCGGCATCGTCCATCATGAGCCGTGCAGAGTATGGAGTACTCGGGCGGGCCAGCTATTCGTATAAATAGGCGACGTCGTCCAGAAAGAACGTAGTTACGCCCTTTCGAGTCCGCCCTTTGGGCAGGCAACGAAAATCGGGATCGAGACGAGCCGCTGGCCGCAGAACCACAGGTCGTACGGTGAGCGCGCAGGCTGGTTGAGGCCACGAGAAAAGAGTCCTGTGGTCTCGCCCACGCTCTCACGAAAGCAGCTCGCTGAGATATAAATACTCCGTGAGTACTCCGTAATATATAAATAACTAGCCTGCCTGGCCTGGCCTCGCGTAGCTACGACAAGCCTTAGCCCAACCTGGTAGATCGCCGTATTCTCAGCTCCCCAGCCTGGCGTAACAGGCTCAGCCAAAGAGGCCATGACGATCGCCCTGGTGGCGCCGTAAACGACAGCATCTCGTCGCCGCTGCGCTGGCTGAAGTTGGTCGCTTGTCAAGTGGCTGAGCCGCTGCTGTTTCGTGTGGGCGTCTCACCCACGGCTCGAGGCTCTGTCGAAACAAACAGCCATCCCCAGTCGATCCTTGCTAGTTAGCGAGCATCGAGCTTCTTCTCGCAACCGTCCTCGAGCTCTCGCCGCTGTCTCTCCGTCGCCGTCATCGCCGTCCTCGCAGTCGCTGTCGTTGTTGCTTGCAGGCTGAAGTCTGAGAGAAAAGAACGAAGAAAAAAAAAAAAATCTTCCTTGCGGCGGCCAAAACCTGAACGAAGCCCAATCGGGTAATTCCCACAACTTCAAGATCCTCCAACACAACAAACATCGACACTCCGCTCTATCTTCCTCTTCCTCTGCGCAACAACGAACCCGACGCCGCCAGCTCTGCATCTTCGCTTCTCGCCTGACCGATAGACACGACAGGCAGCCGACCGACCTTCCGCGCTCCTCTCTGGCCCACCGAACGACCGACCAAATCCCTCCCTCCTTTTCCACCCGCCGTCCGTAGCTGTAAGTCCCCTCGGCATCGCTCACCCCCGTTCATACTCGGGCTCCCACAGCCTACACGGTTGCCAGTGCAGTTCTCCAGAGGCATCTTCCAGCTAGGCTAACATGTGGTCACTCTACTAGACAATAAGCTTGCTCTCTAGCTCTCCTCCACCATGTCGGGAGAAGCATGGCTATACCTTCTGGCGGTCCTGATCAATGCGGTCAACCTCTTTCTACAGGTCTTCTTCACAATCATGTATAGTGATCTAGAATGGTGAGAACCCCTTCAGCCTCTTTGTATTAGAAATAATCTTGCATGGTCTCCCTTGCAAAGGACCTGCCACTATAGCTGCTTTGTTTGGGGACATGCGCTGACCTGACCGTCTCCTGCTTTACAATAGTGACTATATCAACCCGATTGACCTCTGCAACCGCTTAAACTCCTATATCATCCCTGAAGCTGCTGTCCATGCCTTTATAACCTTCCTGTTTGTTATTAATGGCTACTGGCTTACAATCGCACTCAACCTGCCCCTTCTCGCGTATAATGCAAAGAAGTATGTACTCCCCCGCACCCGGCCAGACGTTCACACCACATGGGCAACCACCCTCTTATATATCCGCCTTTCGGCCACTCGCGGACCTCCAGACTAACAAGATCCCCTTCTTAACCCAAGAATATTCGAAAACCAACATCTCCTCGATGCCACAGAAATTTTCCGGAAGCTGAATGTCCACAAGAAGGTACTTCCTCGAAGCTCAATTTATCATACCCAAGTTGGAATCATCTATTCTGATCACGTGTCATTCTTTTTTCACTACGTATAGGAGTCCTTTATCAAGCTCGGTTTCCACCTCGTCATGTTCTTTTTCTACCTCTACAGCATGATCGTTGCTCTGATCCGAGACGAAACCCATTGACTACGTGATAAGACGGCTCACGCCATGCAAAACGGTCGACCGCTGCAATTAAAAAAAAAAAAGCTACTACGCTACTACTTCAAGAACTCAGCAACACATACGCATATTGCCAGGGATAGCAATGATGGAGTCATGACAAAGGTGGTTTTATTGGCTGGCTCACTCTTTCTTTCTTTTTTGTTCTCATATACATCCCACAAAATAAAAATGGGATGCGAAGCGCCTCTGTATGCCTCCTCTCTTTTTGTCTCTTCTATTATGATAATGGCCCCTTCCGCAAAGCCCTGATACGGATAGACTTGGTGGAGATGAGAAATGTGAGAACGATTCTCGATCCTCTGATAATTTGTTCACCCTTCCCCACATTCTATTCCATCTCATCTCATCTCATCTGGGACCTCGAATGTTGTCGATCCCCTTCGTTAACTGTCTTTTGCATCACTCAAATCTTTCACTCGCATGTAAAGCTTTCTCTTAACTGGAACCGTGGGTCGAACAGTTTGCGTTGTGAAGAAAAAAAAGAAAGAAAGCAAGGGCTCCCCTTCGGCTGTGTGAGACCGAAGAATCTCAGCACTACTCGACCTCCGTTCAACCTGGCTGTATGGCAGATACGTTAGAGTTGTGGATAATAAATGCTCTTTATGACATGTAGAATTGAACGTTTGTATAATTTAGTTCGTCTGTCTGGTTGATGAAGTGTAAATGCCACCTGGAATAGCCCTTCTAATTCAAAAAGAGAAACGAGAAGAAAAACGCTTTAAAAGTAAAAAAAAAAGTCCCCAGCATGTAATAGCAATTTCTGGTCTCGCCGTATTCTCTCTTGTCTTGTAGTTTGTATTGTCGAACTTTTGCAAAACGAAAAATTATCAGATGGAAACCGGTGGTGCAAGAGAATAGGAGAAAGAGGTGTTACTATTGAACAGGAAGGAAAAGGGGATCAAATTGAGAAAGACTATGAAGGGGAACAGGGAGGACGAAGTTGAAGGAATAGAAGGGGTTAAAAATATTTTAACAAGAAGCAAAACAATGACCAACCGGTGACAGAAACAAATTGTACCATAATAGCAAAAACAGGAACTAGAAGCAGCAACAACAGGGTCCCATAAAGACTGTATGTATCGTAACACCTTTCCTTTCTTTTTGTATCCTTTTTTTTTTCTTATTTTTTGCATGAGTATGTCCCCCTCCTAAACTTGGTTGTCGTAAAGTTTCGTTGTGCTGGCAGCTTAATGCAAGAATGTATGTAAAAAAACGAAGGTATTCGATTGTAAGCAGGAAAAAAGAGCAGGTTGAACCATGTTCAAATGGTTCCTGAAGTATACGGGACCCAGGAAGGTGTATGTGTGAGTGGGTGAGCCGTTATTCGTAACCTTCAAGCCTCTAGATGGTATTTCCAAGGAAAGGGCTTCTGAATCTCGGAGAAAGTAACAGCAAGTATTCACGATCTCCGACAACGCCGTTGCAAATTATTAATTCTAAAAAACGATGTTCCGTTGGGTATGCCATAGTGCGAGACGGGCGGAATCTGGTATCATGTTATCGCGGTAACGGGGTTAACGAGCGAATGGTCGATGCGGAATGGATTGTTGGGATGTATCCATGGGCAGAGCTAAGTTGATGCCGATGCCTAAAGTAAATATATCATTAAGAATTAAGGGATAGGCCACTGAATTGGTTTGTCCAATCGTTCTGGCCATTCTGGCCGCTCTGGGGTCTATTCGTGGCCCCGTTACCGTTAGTTCGGCTAAAGTCAGCGGCATTAGGGTCCATCATAGTGTAGTGCGGCTGTTGGTATGAAGAAAATGGGTCGGTCTGAGGTTGAATTCCAGCTCCAAATCCAGCGTCAGGCTGTCTAGCAATTCCGAATGTATGGTATGGGTCGAGATAAGGGGGACGCATCCCCGGTTGCATAGGTTGCATATGGTCTCGAGTAGGGTCAGTATATGGAGAAGAAATTCCTTGGTTAAGGCCGCCGTATTGTCCAAATTCATGCTGTCGACGTCGATCAGTGTGGGAATCCTGCCCATACCCCATCATCCCAGAGCCTGGTGGAGGTGGTAGTCCAGTGGATGGAGTCACAAAGGAAGCAGGATTGATAGCAGACATCCAGATACGCGTCTTGTAAATTTTGAATAGGTCCGTAACCAAAGAATTAAAATTGATATAGGAATCAGCAAAATAGTAAAATGTAAGCTTCTTCCAGTCCCTGCAGTTGTGTCAATCAGCATATATTTATCGAGATAAGACACAGGGAAGTAACTCACATTTGGAACTCAGCATCAAGAATTTCCATATTGAGACGATGCTCAGCAACCTTCTGCTGGCACACGCGTTTCGCCTTGGCCTCGTTGCCTTCTTTATCACGAAGGGTCTGGATCTCATGGCTTTGAGCCAGCCTCTTAATCAGCTTGGGTTTTATCTCGGCAGCTTGAGGTTCTTGAGATGTGTGTTGGGACTGAGGGCCCATGCCACCGACGGCACTGCCTGGTGCACCGCCCAGAGATGGAGGAGCTCCAGGATTGATATGCCCAGTGCCGTTGCCTTGATTCTGACGCGAGAACAGCATCAACCATTTGTAATGCTCCTCGGCATAGTGATCCTTCAGTTCTTTGGCTCTCGCCCAGCTGATATTTGCATGTGCAACAGTACCCAAATCAGTACCGCGATCAGCTTCGACAATCACGAGGTCGCCAGTCTTTACTTCTAAACCAGTGCCCTCTTGGATATAGAAGACATCTGCACGGTAGCACTTGAAAGTAACAATGAATAACTGCTGGTTTTGATGAGGCTGGCCAAGGGCAGCATGCTGGCGTCCAAAAGCATTTGGCATGACATAAGCTTGGTGAAGAGAGGTTGGAATTCCAGAAGTTGGGATAGTGTCTTGTCCAGATATATATGGAGCTATTATGAAACGCCTATTAGCACCCCATAACCGTATTTTTATGTGATCTGACTGAGGCAGTGCACTTACCAATTTCGGCAGATGAGGTATTTAGACCATTTTCAGTAAAACTCCCTTCATCGCGGGTTAAAAGGGAGGATGTCGAACCAGCCGATGCTCGAGTCTCGCTTGACGAAGGGAAGGAAGACGATGGATGTCGGGTCAAAGTATCGGCGAAAGAATGGCGGCGACTCTGAGGTACATCAGCAATGCTGCCAAAACCAAGCGAGCTCTGCCACTGAGCTCGTTTGATGTTTTCCAAGGTGCGGTTCTCCAATGACGCAAAGGTAGGAAATTGCTTTTCTAAGTTTGTTGAATGCTCGCTGAATCGTCTGCGGGCATTATTGCGGGAGCTGTAGCCTGCAAAGCCACCCACATCTTCCAAATCTTCTACGGCTAGATCGGATTCTTCTGGAACACTGCCTTGAATTGGGTGAAGCTTGTGGGTTTGAGCCATGGAATAGCCGTTGTTGGTAGATGTCGATGAGAGGGTACGATCGCGGAATCTGTTGGTGCCCTCAGCTTGGCTTGAAGCAGCCTGACGTAACATTGCGTTCTCCAAAGTGAGCTGTTCGATGGTGCGTGCTTGGTTAGATGCCCAGTTGTTGTTGCTGGGTTCTATGCCACTAGGACTAATGTCGTCATCGTCTTCGCGAACGCGTCCTAGGGTAGCAGGGTCATGTCCTAGTTCCAACAAGCTGGGTCGAGAGGAACGACGTTGGACTGAGGAGTACTGTGCAGCAGGTCTATTCCGACTGATGGGTGGGGTGGGCTTGTTTGAAGTTGTGAGGGAAGGGGGAATGCCACTGGATTCTGGGTCCAGCTGTCCAACTGAGTATGACTGAGAGCGGTATGTCTTAGGCGTTGGGTGAAGTGGAATGGCAAATGGAATCGGTGTCTCCCCAGACGCCTGATATGCTGTAGTCCCGCTCTGATCTTCTCCTGAAGTACTAATCAAATTTGGGGGGTTAGAGCTCGTTGGGGACTGGAGAACCTCAACCATGCGAGATGGTGGTTCCTTTCGATTTTCGGTGTTCCAGATCCCTGTACCCCAGGGGAAAGATCCGTTGGCAGATGTATTTCCCCAGTTCACTGCTGTGGTGACCCCGGGACTCGTGGCGGTACCCCACGACGATTGATCCCCCGCAGGTGTGGTGGGATTGGAACTGACGGGCGAAAATGTGCTGGTGACGGGGAGTGAGGCCTTTCTCATTAAGGTGCTGGGCACTTCGTTGAGCCAGGATGTACGGCGACGTTGGTTTGCCAAAGGTGTCGGCTGGTGTTGAGCGGGATGATGATGATCGCCCTCATCCTCAGATGAAGCAAGGGCATCCGAATCGGGTGTCGAGCGGCGAATACCTGGTCGACATTTATCTAACATGATGGATGCACTGTTTCCTGGTGTGTTTGCAAAAGCAGCGCTGGCGGATCGTACTGGCTGGCCATTTTTAGTTGAGCCAGCCATATTTATTAATGTGTCTGTAAATGGTAATAGGGGGATAGCGGAATTTTGACGGGGTTTCTTGGAGAGTTCTTGAGGATGACGCTTCAGGACAATGTGAGAAGCTATTCCAGATCGTCGAATTGTTTTTGAAATGTAGGTAAAATGACGTTTATCCAAGGTCTAGGTAAGAAACCCCTGGATTTAAAGCAGGAGGAGGTGCTCGCATGTGTTGGTGACGGACGGGTCTTTAACTGCTATTAGAAGGTAGATTAGAACATATTCAACAGGCAACTTTGGAATATTCAAGATCGATCTTTGATAACGCCACAGTATGACGTCTTTGATGTCAATAATACGTTCTCTCGATCTGTAAAATCGTCGCGATAGGTTCGCGACAAGGGAGTTGAAAAATTCGCGTGGCTAGTAACACTCACACGTGCGTCTGCCCCCAATCTGGGGAAGCTCTATAGGGTACGGCCGTGAGCAGCCCGCGTCAAGGAAATTACCAAAGAACAGTTGTAATAGGCTCAAGCTGAGACGAAAGCGTAGAGAGTATATTATCTTGGGATGAAAGTGGAGGAGGCGGTAAGATGAGGCTTGCGCAACAATTAGTTGGTTGGGATAAGAAGGTCAAGGAGCACGCGCTGGATGAGAGCGCCTCCGTGATCCGAAAAGCTGCAGTTTATTGTCTGGGAGTAATATCGAGGGAAGATGCTGGCTCGGGAACTACAGTTCGATGACGGATTAGTACAGATAATTAACAGTGGATAGTGGCGAAATAGAAGAGGAGCTAGAACACACAGCTCTTAAATGCACAGGTATTAACCTCTCTCGCTTCTAAAATATATTCCCCAACTCACGTCTAGGCGAGCGTCCACAAGGCGAGGATATGGTAGATGAAGACTGAGGTCGTCTAGCAATGCGCGACGTGTCAAATAAGGTTGTGGAGGGGTTGCAAGGCGACAAGACAGGATGATGTGAGCTGACGTCGGGTGTCTGAATCGTCTTTTCACGGACAAGTGCCGTGTGAGACAGGGAAAAGCGAGTGTATGAAGTATTCGTGGGGGGTAGGCGATGAGAGAGGATAGAGCGCGGACGAGGTAGGTGATGAAGTACGAGGTACTCCGTACGAGAGATGTTCAATAGCCGACGAAGTCCTGAGATTGGCAAGGCCTGGCCCACGATTAAGCAGGTAGGTGGATTTCGGCTGACGATGGCTTATCTAGAAGAAGCGCATTCGCCAGCGGATCGTCGTCGAAGACGTAGTAAAGCTGGAGACGGGTGAGAGGAGGTAGAAGAAATGGTCGTGTGTGAGGAGAAACGGAAGAGCGAGACGAACGACGTAAGTAGAGAACCAGAAGGGAAAACAGCAGACAGAAAGTGGTAGCAACAGAGCAAAGTGGGTGGCGTGAGGCGGCGGCGGTAGATCTGGAATGGCTCGCTGAGTCTAAGTCTCGTCTCCAGAAACCCCAGATGTCGACGACGTATGAGAAGACGGAGGATGGTGGCACACTAAGTTTAGCGGAGTCGGGAGGTGTGGGCGAGCTTCTCGTCTTTTTTAATTTTTTTTTTTCGCTTTCCTGCAGCGCTGCTTGCTTGCGTCTGCTCCGTCCTTCTGCTGCTGAATGATGGGTCCGTCTGCTTGCTTGCTTGCTACTTTCTTTTTCCTTGGTTCTCTCACTATTCCTTGCACACTGGGCCCGCCTCGAGCCTAAAGTCAGTCTGGAATCTCTTGATCTGCGCCTAAAACCTTCCAACTGGCTCAGTTTTTGTTGACAGAGTGGTTCAGTTAACACCCAGAACCATAGCTATATCAGAGGGTCATCTGTCAGGTTGGAATTGGCGCCGGCGCCAGCGCTAGGCTAGGGGAGATGGAGTTACCTGAAGCGAAAATAAATAAGAAAAAGTCGGATTGTCAATCCAGCCTTCATCAGGTCAGCTCCCCCTTTTTCTCAGCTCGGGGGCTATAAGTCAACCGTTTATTTGTGGAGTCCTTTGGACTCAGGGTCCCTGGTAACTAGCAGTCTCCAGTCAAAGCGGCCAAAGCCCTCCTTTTTTTAGGCCCAGCTTGGCCTGTAAGTACCTGTGGCTGCAATAAAACAAACTAGACTCGATCTTGGAGCTCAGGTTGCGAATCTGCCTGTGTCTAGGTCCGATATCTCGAAGATAGATGTTGAAAGAAAAAGAAACGCCCAGGAAAGCAGTAAACGTCGAATACTACTCCGTACTCCGTACCTAGTCTTGTCTCGTCTCGTCTGTACCCTGTGCAACTGTGATCACAGAGGAGCGTATTTCGAGGAAAGTACTGGGTATTTGGGATCGTTGTTGGCGGCTATATTGTTCCGCGTCTATAGCTAGTTATGCCCAGCACACTCCAGGTCTCTCCACAAGGGCACTTTGTTTGTTGCTGTTTGTTTCATTTACCAAAAATTCCTAACTAAGTTCCAGCTAACTTTCTGCAGAACCAAGGTATATGTACAGTCAAACGCGGTACATAGGGAACAACAGAGAAAGTCGCCTCCCAAGCTACCAAAATTCAATGTTCCAAAGTACGTATCTAACCGAGAGAAAGTCTCCCAGCGAGGCAGAGAAAGGTTCGGGGGGCATCCAGCGTCATCTCGCTGCTACACTTTTCCAGCCAAAACAACCCCTTCCGCCTCCCTCTGACGCGCGGCCGGTGAAGCGTGAAGGGCAGCCCGGCGTTGAAGAGGCGACGTTGACGAGATGAAGTTGAAGAGTTGACGTCGCGAAGCTGAGGTTCGATTTCAGTTTTGCCTCAATTTCCGCTTCGGGCCTGGGCCTAGGGCAAGACATGCCACGTGAGGCTTCACATGACGTGTTGCTCCTTTTGGCATGTCCAGCCTCCTTCTGGGAACTTTTGACGTCGGCGAGTTGGCGTAAAAGCAACCTCCAGCCTTTTTTCCTTGCACCCTCTGTACGGAGCGATCTTTACTCGGTGCCTCTGTGCCTTGCTTGTGGGTAACCAGTTAACTCATATAGAGATGGCTACCTCATTGACTAGTTAACTACTGATCTAACAAACTAACTAGTTAGCTTAACTGACCCCACGAAATCCACCGTTAACCTTCTTTGATGGCCTAAACTACGGTCTGCTTGCCCAAAGCTCCCTCTCCAAGACCAGAGCCAAAATAGAGCAAGCGAGCCAGTGCGGACAGACAAAGAATTTCTTGTCGCTTTTGACACTGTAAGGAGGACGGGTAAAAAGGTCTGGCTGGGCCTCGCAACTCGTCCAGGGATGACCTCATTACTTCAGGCCCACTATTAATATATGTTATCAAGGGATGCACTGCCGCCCAGATCTTCTTCACTCGCGCCCAGCGGCCATTTGGGATGCCATGCGGCGTAACGGTGTCGATACACACCCTTGCTCACCCCCTTCAGACGTGGGACAGTCGAGGATTTGAGTGGGACAGCCAGACAGAGAGAGAGAGAGATAAGGGCGCAGGAGGGGGAGGAGTTGGCGAGGGAGTTTTACGCTAAGCAAAACGTTGCTCCTGATCCTGGTTCACTTTCAGTCCAGAGCCATGGTCAAGTCTTGGCTGAGTTTGTTGATGGACCAACCGCAGAATAATATCTTCCAGATGAGAGCAACCTTGTGGCTTTCAACAATGGCCGGCGTACTAGTGATCCCATCGCAGGACAACACCAGCAGACAGACATGGATGTTTGAGAAGAGAAAACGGGTTCTACAACGAGTTATTTAGCCGGCGCAGTAAGTTTTCGCTCCACTTGGTGCTGCAGCATCTCCAGTTGGCTCCATATCGATTATTATCTATACGAGGGTATCAGACAGGCGATACTGGAAGCATGTATGAGGGATCAATGGCCTCGAATCACATCCAGAAAGCATGGAGGGGGGATCGATGTTTTCTTGCATAACAAGCTGGTCTGCAGCCACCGGGAAGGGCCCATGTTCTGTGATGGGAATGAAACGGCACACATATGCACCCACGGCCTGACAGACCCCCTCATCCTGCACCCCGCATAATGCTTCTATCTTACTTCGCTCAGTCTTCGCCACTATGGAGGTTCTCGATCATTATCCGGTTCCCAGACTCTGAGCACTACACTACTTGGGGATTTTTACGATATGAATAGCAACATTTTATGTGCCCACTTATGGAGGTACGGGTACTCAATAAGACTTGAAACTGGAGTTCTGTATTCGAGGTTGTATAACCTCCCATCTAACCCGACGAACTTCCGTCCTCTTGAGGGATTTTCCTGCCCGTCCATCTCCACTTTGCACCTCCATCAAACATGCGGGATGGCATGCGGGATGCACGGAGCCGTATCCCGACCAAATTCCGGCCAAATATGCAACTGCATTGTCCTCACCTGGAAGATACTGGGCGATTATTAACGACCAGCTAATTCGGGTCTCATACCGCCCACGGTACACCAGGAGGACCGCGCTTTTTCACTTGGCATTCCAGCAGATTTCATAGCCAACCTAGAGTCTGCCCCATTTGGTTATCTTCGCCTGCTTTTACACCTGTGGTGAGACAACCTTTCTTCTTGCCTTCCCAAATAAAGAACTCGGGACTGGAAATCGGAGGGACACAGAAGCCAGCATGTATCTACAGCAATGAATACGGGCCCTCCACTCTTGCAAAGGGGGATTCAGGACGCTAAATATACAAAAGCAAAGGGCCCCGAGATCTGGTATCCGTCCACTCAAAAAGAAAACTCATTGAGCTAACAACTTTAGCATGGCGATGTGATGCAGGAGAGATGATCCCTCTTGGCTACGCGGTCATTCGTAGTCACTGATGGTAAACAAAAACATCTGATGTACGGAGTAGGTGTTCACCAAACCGCGCGCCGCGCTCAAGGGAATAGGAGTAAACACATGGATATTTCTGTACAAGGCCTAGTCTCTTCGGCCCTACTAACTAGTTATCCTCCATTATTCTGCCGTTTATGTTTAATCATCCGCAGATACGCATATGTTTTGAGGATGGAAATACTCTGCTCTGCGCTTAAATTGCTCGGCGTTGTTCATCCCGTCGAAAGCAGCAGTTGGAACCTTCATTGCTTGTTGACAGGGGCTCTCTCTCACAGGATGTAGCTCATCTGACCCCTGCGCTTAACTCAGCTGAGCGAAACTTTAAAAATTTACGTAAGATCTTATGTAATACAGCTGAGGTGACCTGACCCAATAAATTACAGACTTGTAATAGAGGTGTATTAGGATTAGGGGGTTAGGTTAGGGGGTAAGGGTTTAGATTAGGGGACTAGGGAGTATATTTAATAAGTAGTTAGAGAGTACTTTATAATTAATCTGGGACTAGCTACTAACTAGTTATTAACTAGTTAATAACTAATAGTAAGGGTTAGAGTTAGAAATATTGTAAAAGATTATACCTTTATTACAAGTGTAATTTATTAGGTCAGGTTACCTCAGCTATATTACATAAGATCTTACGTAAATTTTTAAAGTTTCGCTCAGCTGAGTTAAGCGCAGGGGTCAGATGAGCTGTAGCCTCCTCTCTCTCATACTCCATTTTTCACACTGTGGGACTTTCTTCAAACCATGTCCCTTGCTCGTGCTCATCCTCCTCCGCGGGGGGCTACCTCGAAGCTCATTTGCCCATCCAACCGATCGGCAGTATTCTAATTAAGCCACATGTTCGTGCCACGGCTATTATAGAACATCTTCCAGCAAGTTGGCTGATGTTCTAATTACCGCATAGCACGCATACTGCCATGGAGGATGGACGGTATTGCTTCACAGGAAATGAGTTGTTATCATTGATGTTGGTATGTACACCTATATTTAAAATATACAGAACAAACAGCTTGCCTCAATTCAATGTGAGTGTGCTTGTGATTGGATGGAGTGGAGGAAGTCCAGGTTGCACATAAAGATATTAGGACATGTAACATAAAGCTACATGCTAAGTGCACCATTTTCTCGACGGAGGCGTACATTGGCTGGGAAGGGGCCAAGGACCCTCTTATGCGCCGTATATATACAGCAAAGGTATACCTTGTCTAAAGATGGCTGCAAGTATGCACGGCTGAGTCGTCGTACATACACTGAAGAAAATCTGCGAGAAATAACTTGTGGAAGGCCGATCAGGCGAAGGAAGAAGGGTATCATGGCATGCATATATTGAATCGGCATTAGCTCATACTCCATCCAGAGATCTAGGCTATCCCTGCGACGAAGTCGGGCCTTTCTGTTGTTTCAGCTTGGCTTCGAACTGTGCGAACTCATGTGCGGCAATCTCTTCCTCCGGATCAAGTACCTGTGTGACGGACTTTACTTCTTCAATCTGTACATCAAACGCCAAGAATTAACAACGCGGGTTCAGAATTCCGGCGGTGGGGGTAGGAGCAGGTGCGGGAATGAATAAGGGAGGTGAACTCACATAATGCATGAGCATAGACTCAATACCATTCTTCAATGTCACGGTACTCGAATCGCAGGTTCTGCAAGCTCCACGAAGCTTTAGCAGGACATTCCCGTTTTCAAATCCGCGGAATTCTATATCTCCACCGTCTTCCTGGATAGCGGGCCTGATTCTTGTCTCGAGTAATTCTTGAATCATCCCAACAACTTCCTCGTCCTCTTCGTTATATCGTACAGCTTCTTCCGCTCCCGCGCCCTCCGCTCCCTCCTTACCTTGTCTGACATCAACAACGTTTACCAGTGCCTCACCTCTAGTAATTGCTTCGGTAATCAGGCTGAAGATCTCCGGTTTGATATGGGCCCAATTAGCATCACTATCCTTAGTTACCGTGATAAAGTCCGAGCCGAAAAACACCGATACAGCACCGTCAACGTTGAGAAGCTTTGCCGCTAGAGGAGATGGATATGGTGGTTGTAGGGTAGATCGTGGAGTTAGGTATTCAAGGAAGGAAACCGGAAAGCCTTCAGGAAGGACAGGGTGGTTAGGCCGGAACTTGAGAGCCTAGGTATAAACGAAAAGGATTAGATCAAAGTTCCGAGTAGCACAGCTTGCATCGGTATAAGGAGGTACATGGGCACTCACATCGGCATTGGGAGTAGTATCCGTCTCAATGAATATAGTTCGCCTATCCGAAGGAACGCCGGTACGTCCTTGGGTAACAGGCTGGTGATGTCGTTGCAAGGTTGGCCGGTGATGCGCCAGCACCACCATCGGAGGTCTACTTGCGCTCGAAAGCCATCGTAACGATAGCTGAGGGCTCTGCCGTCTCGAGGCCGACAAGGGGCTAGACACTGCCCTGGAAAGCACACGGGATAGCGGCCGTGATGCCATGGTAATTCACTCTTGTTGCTGGTGATGTGAATAGCAGCAGGAAATCCGGGGAGTTGAAGTGAGTCTTCAAATTCAAAGCTTTTCTTTGGCCCGCAGGAGCTCGATTCCAATTAATTATTAATAATAAGGTTAATAATTCTTCCATCCGTAACTTTATTTCTTCTAATTCTGTAATAGGAAATTATAATGACGATCCTAAACTCACGTGATATGGCATTCCCTGGACGTATGATTATGTCATCGGTCTACTATTTATATGGTAGCAGGAAGAAACGGTCTTCCAAAAGAACAGTCAACATAGGGTTGGAATACTTGAAAGGATGGCTCCTGCATTTACAGAACCTCAGGGGAAAGTTTGGAAATATTTCTCTTCTGACGGATTTCGTTCTCCTGTCTTGCTTATGGGGAAAGCTTTAGGCAATACCACTGAATACCAGCAGCCAAGGCACTCGATGTTGACAGACGCTTATATTGTTGATATGACCTGTAGAGTTTCTTGCAACCACAGGCCTCATATTATACGTCCATGAACAGTGCTTTTCATTTGGTTTCGTTGCGCGTCTGCATACGGCTTAGCATTTTACTATGTTAAAGCCGTAAATATGAGCAATCTTGCTTATGCTGTGTTGATACCCTAAGGCGATGGAATCTGGAGGATCAAGACTTTGGGTCCCTGTACATTGGCTAGCAAGGAGTCATTCTGGTGCCATTACAAGGTCATATTGACCAGCTAATTCTTATCAACTCCTATGCCACCTCTATAAATAGAAGAAGGGCTATCAACTTCCTGGCTGACCGTCACATTTACACTCAGGGCGGGATGGCTCCTTCAGTTACTCACTGTGGCTGTGCCTGTTAATGTTAGTGCATAATCACGGTTTTTTGTATTCTTTGTAGATTGATATTATTACCACAAGGACTTTACAAATTCACCTGTAGCAACACGGGGATCCATACATGTCTGTCCGTATAAAAGAAACCCCCTAACGTCCATTTGAAAATCACACATAGAAGCTCATGTAGAAGGCAGTTTTTTTCACAATTCATAAATATGGGTATACAATAATACAGGCAAAGGCAGTCCAGACGGGAGGGCAACCAAGGTGGAAAACCAAGCAATATAAAAGAGGGAGATGGGCAGGGGTAGATCTGCTTGAGTATGGCTGAAACCAAAGTACAGAAGGACGGGCGGGGGAGGAAGAACGGAGGAAGAAAGATGTCAGGCATTAGTTTAGGTATATGAGGAATGTAAAATGATAATGATGATGATGGTGGTGGTGATGAAAATAGAATATTTCCTCCCGGCGAGTAAAACCCACATCCCTCCCTTTCCTAACCAACCCGGATAAATGAGCCAACACTGGAAATTGTAAATTGTATCAAGTGTGTTGGCGGGCCATATTGACACTCTATTACAAGAAATAATAGATCGTATCAAGGACATTACTATCATAACAATCATCAGTTCAAGGTCGTCTCCATACAAACCGTTTGCGTCCTGGATCCGGGATGCCGCTGGCGGATGCTTCCACTTGCATGCTCCGGCTGTAGAGTTCCTTCAGGGTGCCGTCAGTATCAATGTGTATGGTACATATAGGTGAGGGGAGGGCAAATGCAACTAACCTCTTCATCTCCTGCAAATTTCGCCTCGAGGATCAACCATTGGGTGATATCATGCTTGGTATACGTGGGAAATGAAGTTTTCTGGCTCTGTTGGATGGAGAGAATGACGTCTCCCATCACCTCGAATTTCCGCCAATTAATTCGGTCGTTGTTCGCGCCGACAAAGGTTTTATTACCCTCCTCTGCAGACACCAGGTCGCGAAGGTGGAGGGGTAGGAACGGTATTCTTTCGTTGAAGGAGTTTCCCCATGCGAGTCGATATGCAAAATGACTCTTTTCAGTACTCATGAGTATAACTACACTCATAAATTGCTTCTGTAGGGTTGGAGGGACTAGTTCGCGAGTCTGTGAGAGCCTTGAAACCGGCGTTCCATTCAACCCTGCAATAACTGCGCCTAGCGCATTATAATTGTTAAGTTGGCGGAGTTTCTTTGATATGGAAAAACTCCTATTAGCCGAGAACAACTTGTATATGGAAAGGGATGGAGCAACTAAAGGAAAATAATAAAAAGGGGGGTGAGCCTGGGCGAACGGAAGTCCGTAATAACTCACCAATGATATATTCATAAACTTCTCCAGCGCCTGGGCTCGGTGTTTTGCCTTGTCTCGAAGCAGTACCATACTAGCGACAAAAAAGGCTAGGTGATTAAACGATTTGATCATCCTGTTCACATTTTCTAGGTATGCCGACGATTTCCCCTTATTCGGACCAGACAAGCTGACATGTCGAATAAGTTCGCGCGGCCGGAAGGAACTGTACATGATCCAGTCCATCCGGGTCACTTCCCGGGCAAATTCTTCGTCGGGGATGTCCATGAATATGCGCCACTGGGTTTTTGTGAGAAGATTCCGCGGCACAAGCTCGAGTTTCTGGGCTTCCTGCTGGGCGGATTCAACGGTAAGCAGGGTTCGAAAAGATTGGCTGGAGATGCTGCCGGCCCTGTCTGCACTGGAAGTGGTGGAGAGGTTGGAGTTTTGCGAGGAGAGGTCGAGGTCCATGTCGCTGATGTTGAAGTTACCCATGGACTGGGACATGCGGTTTGAGGTTGTATCCACAAACGGGTCGGTAGAATCGGGTAAAGAGTCCTCGTCGGTGTAAGCCCAGCATAAGTCGTCGTCTTCCACAAATTTTTCGAGGTAGGAATTCATCTCCTTTGCAGCAAAGGCGAAGACGATATTCTTCTCGAGTGAGGCAATGAACTCGATCAGTAGCCTCCGGGTTTTGGCTCCAGCAAAATCTCCGGGGTACTCCGAGACCCATTGTGCGAGGACGTTCAGGAATCTGAGCTGGTCTGCGTGACGGGTGAGCAACGGCGATCGGCTGCAGTTGATGTGCTCGAAGCGTGTGATTATGGCGGTTAAGACATGAAAGGGAGTAGCGAATTTTCGATAGAGACAGAGGAAGATGGCGGGGAATTTTGCATCCTGTTTGGACAAGGGCAAGGAGAGCAGCCTGTCGACCAGCTCGTCAAGCGTGCAGCCAGTGTCATCCTGTTTCTCCTTTGGCTGCGTCTGACTTGAAGGGCTTCCGGCGGATCTTGAGTCGTCCAGCTCATCGTCCATATCAAGGAAGCTGCTGAAGGCGTCTGAGCCGGAGCTGTGCCTCCAAGTGGTCCTCAGGTTTCGATACCTGGCTTTGCCCGGAGGCGAATCCTCGACGATGGTTTCTGAGGCGCTGCGGTTTGATATCGTACTCCCGGGTGGTGTTCTTGGCGGCACGGGCTGGGAATTACTACGGGCATATCTCGAACCGCCGTGAGCGCCAGGGGCCAAAGTCGAACTGCTGAACGTATCGGCGTGGCCACCACCGCCGCCGCCGGATCGGTCAGATCTGATGGTGTCGCTGGTCGATGGTCTGGGGTTCTCGGAGCTTGCCCGTGTATGAGGTCGGTTGCGGGGGACGGGTTGGCGAAGTAGTAGAGTAGTGCTGTTGCTGCTGCTGCTGCTGCTGCTGCCGGACGGTGCGAGATTCGGAGAGGAAGAGGCGGAGAGAGGCAAGCGATCTGTCGTAGAAGAGGCTACATCTGCAAGGGAGAGCATTGAGACGTCAGCCGGTGCGGCAAGACAGCGTGAGGGCGGTTCAGGGGGCGGACGCTTTGAAGAGAATATATCATGCTTGGAGAAGAAAGGGGAGGTGGTGAAAAAGTCGGCCGCAACCAGAACAGGGGGGGATGGAAAGAGTAAAAAAAAGGAAGAAGAAGACGAGCAGAAGGACTAAAGGCTCGACTCTGGCCGGCAAACTCGAATTCATAGGAGCCAGAGCAGGGGGATAGCGCAGAGTTCTTCTTCTCCTGCCTCGTCGTCTTTCCTCGTCTTCGCTTTTTTTCTTCTTTTCTTTTCTTTTTGGGCGGTGCGAGGCGTGGGTGGAGAAAGCCGGGAGCGAGTTTAGCGTGATAGACAGGGGGGATGAAGCAGCAAAAGCCCCGAGGGGAGCCAGAACAAACGGAGGGCGGGCAGGCAGAGGCAGAGGCAGACGCCCTTTGGTTGGAATGTTCACCTTCCAGGCTGTGTCTGGCTCGTGGTGAATTGGAGAGAGAGGGAAGACGGGGTCCAATACCGTCCATAGTGATGGGTGTTTGTTTCTTTTCTTCTTCCCAGACACACATACACAAAAGGGGCGGGACAAACAGTCGACAAGCAGAGCAGGAGAAGAAGAGAAGGTGAAGGTGGGGGAAGAAGAGAGAGGACTGGACATACCAGCACTACGCATGATGATGGCTCGTAGGATGGTTGAGATGCACTTCTTGTGGGATTCTGGATGGCTGGCCGAGATTCTCTGCACCTTCAACCCCAGTAGAGACCGGCATGCTTGCACTAGGGTTAAAGGGTCCTGCTGGGATTCGTTCTGAGGGCCATCGCATTTGCAGGCTATCACGAGGAAAGGGATGTTGGTCGACTTCCGAAGGGCATCTAATATTTCCGTCCGTTCAGCAGTTGTACCAGCAGCGCTGACTGCCCGGCGGAATCCAGGCAGGACGGACGACGCATAGAAGGTTAAAAAAAAAAAAAAAAAAAAAAAAAAAAAAAGAAGAAGAAGAAGAAGAAGAAAAAGAAAAAGAAAGAAACAAACAAACGAGAGCGAGAACGGCACCGAGGGAGAGGCCGGGTCTTACCAAGGACCTGTGGGTACTGGGACACGCTGCGGAGATCGGTCGAATCGAAGAGGCAGAGAACCCCGTCGATGGGAGGCAGCGCCTGCTCGCCCAGACACTTGGGCCACACGATGCGGCCGCGGTCGTCCAGGGTGATCTTGTGGATGGCGATTTCCAGCAGCCGGACCACGTAGATAGCTCCGTCCATGGACATCTTCTTGATCGAGGACCGAACCAGCGGCGTCTGCTTCAGGTCGAGCGCGCACTTGACAAACGTCGACTTGCCCACGCCCGCAGCTCCCACCACTGCTAGATTCACCTGCGGCAGCTGGTGTCCAGACGTAGCAGCCTATACACGCCGTTAAGTTAGCCGGGGGGTTCTCTCTCGAGGGGGATATATATGTCTATAGATCTCGCATGCCCCCCAATGCCCTCAGGCAGTCCCTGTCCGGAGCCAGAGAGGAGCAGACAAAAGGGCACACCATCGGGATATCACATCCGGGGGAAGAGAGATCTGAGAACATCTCGCATACCTCCTCCGAGCTGTCCTTCTCCTTCTCCTTGTCTTCGGGTTCCTGACCCGTCATCGTCGCCTCGTTCTCTGCGATTGCCGTAAACCCAGCGGCGTCCTGCTTGCCCGAGCGGCCGGCCTGGAGGTGCAGCTTGCCCACGGGGGCCGAGTATGTTCGGTTCTGGAGCGGCGGGCGAGCTGGACGTGCGGAAGGGAGACCATCACGCCCAGCGCTGGTTGACCGTGTCCTGGCGAGGTTCAGGGAGGAGGCGGACATAATATATATACTATATATATAATTTAATATAATTTATATATAATATAGAGGTATGTTATGGGTTCGAGTGGGTGTCTGTGTGTGAGACAGAAGGCGTTTGAGGTAGAGCTCTCTCTCTCTCTCTCTCTGTCTCTCTGTGTCTGTCTCGCCGGTCTTCCTGTCTGTCTTCCTGTCTGTCCGTCTTTGGTCTCTGCTGTTTCTGCTGTATCTGTCTGTCTCTGCGTGTGCTCGTCGCAACGCAGCCCGTCTGATCGCAGGGGGCAACCGGATCACTGCTGCATGTCTCCCGCGGGAGTCTTCAATGCAGCCGTCTCTCTTCCCCTAAGCCAGCCTGGCGCTGTTCTACTGCGAGCGATGCTCGCTCGTCATCGCCAGCCGCCGAATTGAGAGTCGCTTCCCGTGTGCCGGCTGCTGCTTGCTGCTGCTCTCTCGCTGGACGACGGAGGCAAACCCAGGTGATAGATAACAACGAGCAGAAGATGCAGCAGGACGCCCTTCCGTCCTCCAAGCTGGCGGCGGCGGCTGTTCCTGTTGTGTTTTGTGTGTTTTCTTCTTCTTCTTCTTCTTCTTCCTTTTCCCTGCGTTGGAGACAAGCAACAGCGCGTTTTGACCGGTACAACGTCGCAGGCAGGGTTGAGACAGGCGGGAGAGAGCGAGAACGGCGGATCGGAGGTGCGTATATATATATATATATATATAGCTAGAAATCGACAGATAGAGTCGAGATGCCAGGCCGGAGTCGAGCGGCGAACGAGGCAGCAGATCGATGATGGGGGTTTTTTAGTCTTAGTGAGACAGCAGACGCTCCAGGATGTTTGTTTTTTTTTTTTTTTTTTCTTTCCTCGTCTGTAACAAGAAGCAGAAAACGCTGGAAGGACATCTCGGCCTGCCTCTCGTCTCGCTTCTTTGCTTTTTCTCTCGCATCCGCAGTCTCTCGCCGTTTCTGCGTCTCTGCGTCTCTGGCAGTGTCTGGGGCCTGGCGGGCCTGCTCTGCGGCCTTGCTATCGTATCTACGGGCTTGTCTGTCTGCTGTCTGTTTTGTCTACGTTTGATCTACAGGCGGTAATGCTGGCGGGCTGCGCATACATCAGACAGGTAGCATTTCGCAAGGGGAGGATAGAGTTGAGGGCTTCTCCGGCGCTCTTCATTTCTTCGTTCTTCTCCTTCGTACGGAGTAATCCTGGTCATGTTGTAGAGTTATAATAGCAATATAAGAAAAAAAAATATAGATCGAGTGGTGGCAAGAAGCCTTTTCCTATCATCCATCATCCATCATCCATCATCCTGCCAGGGGCAACGAAGGCAAAGGTCAGCCCGGCGGAGATAATGTGTGCAACAGAGGCAGGGCCCTTCCATTCAGCTTGCGTTCAGCTGCCAGGCTGTGTGGCCAGGGGAGAGCGAGTCGCCTGCTTCGTGCTTATTCTTGGTAACGCTGGCCCTGTTTTCTTTTCCTTTCTCCATGGTCTTGTGTCTGTGGCTTTGGACGGTAGTTTGTTTATGCAGAGATGTTGACTCCGTGGAGTCGACAGTTCGGGATAGACGAGTCCCAGAGCCTCGCCCCGTCTTCTAAGCAGCTAGCCAACCGCCGTCCCACTATTCGGCTCCAGATCGAAGGGCTCTGCCCTCTAATTCGTGACTGTCCAGTGTAGAATGGGAAGTTCCATTTGACCGTTGGGCCCCCTGTATCTACTGGCGTTTCAAACCATGCTAGAAAGGAAAAAGGTACCTGTGTTTCGGGTCCTCGACGGGTGTGTTATTCGTTTACTCCCCCTCCCTGAGACGGATGGATCCCCATCGAGCAAACTTGCGGGGAGCAAGAGAGTGGGTGGGTGTGTCAACTCGTCTGTATACTGTATGTACACTTGGTGTGGTAGGACCAAAGGGGCCTTTTGTGACGAAAGAGATCACATCTGCAGGTCCTTGTCCTGGGAACTGGATATAGCTTCTGGATCAGCATCTCCGCTCCCGAATAATAACATACCCCTTCGCTTCTGTATGTCAGCGTCAGACGACAGATCATGTCTCGACGAGATCGTGTCCAATCGGATGGGACTCTCATTTTCTTGTCCAAGTAACAGCATTCTTCCAAGGCGAGAAGCGAAAGAGTGACGCTATATATAGGATCACACACACCTTTTTTTTTCCCTTTTTAAACATTCCCATAACACCCCACGATCTGCAGGATTTAAGCAGTCAGTTGTCTGTATAAAAGTAAAGAGAGCGTACGCAGGATGCACACAGTGCGATCGGGCTTCCCAAGGGTACCTCCCATAAACCATAAACGGTGCGCACATCCCGGCAGGTTGGTAGCTTTTTCGCCTCAGCCAATCTTTAGAGTAACGCCGCCGCTTAGCCGGTTCCTGTTTTTGCTTCCATATCGTGACCCCTATTACTCATATTCCTATCCATATCCATATTCATATCCATATCCATATCAATAACAAGAGCAATAAAGCGTCGAAATGCCTCATCCTCAGCTCCGCCGGTGGCGTGTCTCGATGCACCGCCATCGTCGTCACACGCTTCTCGCCATTTGCGAACCCTTCCAAGCCCGCGGTTGAAGCCCTTCTCCGCCGTCCAGGGGCCTCGGTTCCTTCCTCTGGACGAATGTGACCCCCTACCTCGCCCGCGTCCTCGTCCGCGCCCCCGTCCGTTGCTGTTGTCCAGCCTCGCCTCTTCAACCCATTCCTCTTCCAGTGTTAGACTGTAAATCTCCCGCAACCGAGCCCGGAGTCTCGGGAATCGACTCCATAACTCCTGGAGCTTGGGCGAATTCTCAAGACTGGAGAATCTCTCTTTCGATTGCCCCTGCCCCGGCCCCGGAGCTGTGGCAATGTCAGCAGCAGTTGATGTAGACGTAGACGTAGCTGGGGCTTCTGCGTCGTTGACGGTCACCGCATTACCGTCTCCCTGTATACAAGCGTTTTGGGACGCAGGATCTTGTGCAACTGGAGAGCAGCTTGTCTTATGGGCCTTTGAACACGCCAGAGAGCAGCTATCATAGGCAATAGTTAGTATACATCCGTAGATTCAGCTTCGTCTTCTTCGTCTTTTCATCTTCGTCGTGTTGCTCGGGGGAGAGAGAACCTACCTCTGCACGCCGCAAGCTGGACACCGGTACTTTGCTTGCTCCTGGGAGCAGACCTGACACGACACGGCCATCAGCTCCGTCTCATGACCTAAGTACAGCTGAGCTTCTTCTTCTTCTTCTTCCTCTTCTTCCTCCTCTCACGATGGCCTCTGCCTGGATCTGCTTCCAATGCATCCCTCGTCGTCGCCGTCTTTTTGTTCTGGCGAAAAAGGAAAAAAGGAAGAAAAACGGTATTCATACCGCTGCTTTAAGAGCCTCGCCAAGCCGCTGCACTTTTTCCAGCGCTGTTTTAAACGTAACTTCACCTGTCAAAAAGTCGAGCGAAGGAAAGAAACAAACAAGACGAAGAAAGACGAAGAAAGACGAAGAGAGAGAAAGACGAAGGAGAAAGATCAAGCCAGCTCAGCATGACGAACGTGCCAGCGAGGACTCGCTCGGTGTACCGGGCCATACTACGCGAGCTGCCTTCCCGGCCGCGCTTCTCGCCGTCTCCCCTCCAGACCAAGATCCGCCAGCACCTGTCTACCGCACCCGCCGACGCCGACGCTGCTCGGGCGCAGCTGGAAGAAGCAGAACAGTTTGCGCAATACGTCAAGGCCCAGAGACAGTATGTTACGCTGCTGGAACGATATAACCCCGGAGCGGACATGGACCAGGAAGAACGAGTCCGGTTGACTGCCAGGAGAGTCGGCATGAGCCTGCCAATCGAACACAAGAACAATTCTTCATAAAAGCTGCATGAGGGTTGGTGTTCGGAGATATCAGCGTTAAATTACCCATGATTGAACGCGGCGTGGCTGGATGATTTCAGGGCTTATTAGTTGGCTGTGGTATGCAAATTGTTCTTCTTTCCCTTACTATTATTCTATGCTGTTCGGGTAATCTAATGTGACACTCTCGGGCAGGTGTTGAGCGTATGGGATAGCCATAGCGAAGGCTGTTTGAACTTTTTTTTTTTTTTCTATTTTTTACACTGTATTCCAGACACATTGTACAACTACTACGACAAAAATATACCCGGACCATAGTACCCAAGTTTCATGTTCATCTCTTTATTGAGCCCGACCGTTGGCGAAGCGTAACCGGAATGACCTGTCTTATCACTGTTAAGCCGCTAGTCATCTTGCAGACTTCAGACCGCCTACAAACGGCCATGGAGGGCTGTGACGGGTTGCAGCAGATCTTGGGGGGAAACAGGGGCTGGGTCTATACTTCGGCCATGTCTATACGGTCACCGTATTCTTCAATACTGCGGACCAGTGCCGTTGCAAAGGGTTCCTTCACCTGCACCACTGGAACTGATAGCCATGATATCCAAGGTATATCCAACGGCAAAGGATGTTATTTCATTCAAAAGGCAATCAACTATATATGATCCTGCTAGTTACCTTCACGGAACCGAAGAGGCTACAGGGTTTCTAGAGATATACGGCTCACAGATCACTTGTGTATACGCAATATAATAAAACTCAACATTTATACGGTTATATATATAACACTCTTCCCAAAAAAGACGACCAGCACCAGAGCCATGCAATCGATGGGTCAGGTGCATCTGTAAAACAAGGCAAGCTAGAGCAGAAAACTTCATCACTTCATCTAGATCAGATTACCTATTAAATCTGTAAGAAGTGTACCAAGGAAAGAGTGTAGTAATGCTAAACACGTAGACATCCATGGATGTTCGGTCAAAGAGCAGTGCAAAGCGAGCGTTGCTCTATAAAAACGACGAAACGAATGAGAAAAATGCATGAAACCCCAAAAATCAACGCCTTTTAGATGCATATGTCACCAGAGTACATTAGCTGGGAAAACAAAGAGAGGAAAAAAAAAAAAAGAAAGATAGGAAAATATGATAGGAAAGCCAGGATCAGAGCTTGTGGTCTGCGCACATGCCATGGTAATGGGCAGCTGGATGTTTAACGAGTCCAGCTCGGAGTGTGTTGGTGATATAGGAATGAGATGTATGAATGAGGAGTCGGGAATGGATGGTAGGAGGCTGGTATGATTTGACAAAGGAAAATTAAGGAAAAGGAACAAAAAGGAGTCTCTCAAGTTTAGATGACGGGACGGGCCTTGCCGAAGAATCTAGAAATGATTCCTCCGGTGGCTGATCCTGCGGTCTTTGCACGTTTCTGTGGCTGTATCTCGGTTGGGAAGTTGATCGCATGACTCTTGGGCTTGGGGCGCATCATCTGGATGTCGACATAGCTATAGGCCAAGTGAGAAGAGCTAGGGCTTGTGCTACCGTCAGCAACAACAACTTCATGGAAGGATGAGGCAGTGTTGATGCTGGCCGGCGTTCCTCGGGAGCTGGGAGCCAAACTGGAAGATCGAGACGAGGAGCCGTGGTTGGAATCGGCATGGCCGAGAGCAGGCAGGTCGAGGACAGAAGGCGGGGAAATAGAGCGACCCGATCGCTGCAGGGATTGCCGACGTTTATGACGAGCGATGCGGTCACTTGAATTGTCCGCGATCGAACGGGGAGAATCGTAAATGCCAGCCTGCATGCCATAGTCACTAGGGCCACGAGCAGGGCTTTGGTCACGAGATGCTTGAGCTAGAGCTGCACGTACGGCAAGCTCTCGTTCACGTTCACGCTCACGCTCACGCTCCATCTCCATGTCACATTGAGCCTGGATGTGGCTGCGAATGGGAGCAAGGAAGGGCTCGAAGTGAATGAAGAGGTCCTCCTCATTGACACGGGTGTCCCAGTCGAGCAGATAGAGAAGTTGGCGTTCCATCAGGTTGACTTCTGGCAGGGAGAAGCCAAAGCCCTCATAGCCTTTGACCAGGGTGTATCTAGACCAGTGCTTGTTCTTTGGGCTCGAGTCGTTGAGGTTTTTGGCAGCCAGAATGAGAGCAGCGAGGAAGATACGATGGGAAGTGCATCGCATGCCCTTGGCGACTGGTGGCAGCTTGTTCTTTAGACGTGCTAGGAAGACAAGAGATGTCATGAGAGTAGGGACCTCGACATGAGAACGGGTAACAAGAGAGAAGATGAACGACTCCAATGGTGGCAGGGGAGGAAGATGAGGCTCGTCAGCTGCCTTGAGATCGGGAGAGGCTGGCGGTGTGAGAGTCCCTTGCTGGGTGACTGGTCCTCGAATAGCACGGTCCTCGCATCTAATAACCATAGATGATTGTCTAGCCAAGTAAGATATCATTTCGCATGAAACCGGCATAGAGATGAACTCGTTGAGAGCTGCACGGTTAAGAGCAACGTTGGACTTCGCCATTTTGATATTAGGACTAGAAGCAGGAGTAGTTGGTATTGCTCGTAGAATGCGTCCTGTTTTTTTGAGATCAACCCGGTATCGTTAGATGTAGAGTAGTAGGAAGATAAAGGGGGTTGTTTGTCGAGCTGGAAAATGGATATAATGTTGTAAATTAAAGAAGCTTAGCAGTTCTGTCCTTTCAAGGGATTCCGGCCAGCGGAATAAAGCAGACAGGCTAATAAAGGGCAACCCGTAGAGAGTCGCGGTGTAAAGTAAAATAAAGTAGCAAGTAATGGCGGATCGATGATGTTATTCTGCTGCATCTGTTAGTTATGCCGGCGCTCAAAGGATGAATGAGAATGCATGCAAGAAGAGGCGGCCGGCCGACAGCCACACAGGGGGTAGTCCGCATGCCTGCATGTAGATGTATGGGGTTGTCCATCGGCCGGCTGTGATGGGAGGGGGCAAAAAAAAAAAGGGTGATGCATGCAAACGCCAGGGGTCGGCAGCACTTACTCAGATGTCCAGACAAGCTGAGAAGAGCAAAGACGGATTTTCCGTCGCCAGGTCTCGATGAATGCCTCGTCGAAGCAGAAGCAGGGGGTAAAGTCGCTGGCTTATTCAGATCTCTGCAAGAAGTGTAACCGACGGCCGGCGGAGTATTCCAGATACAGCGGACAGTAAAGTCGACGATGATAAACCCAGGGCCAAAAAAACCAAAAACCAAAATGCAAAATGCTTTTAAGTGGTATGGGGGAAAAATGAGATCTAATAAATGTATAAAAGATGGTTAAAGGTAAAGAGACTCGTGAGACGTATCAAACGCCTTCTGATGCAATATTATGTATGTGTGGGCAAAAGGAGGGAGGGAATAGGCATGTGGTTAGTTCTCGTGAAGAAGAAGCAACCAAAGAGAGCGAAGGAGGAGAACAGAAAGAAAATAATACAAGAGAACCTGCTTTAGTGATATAAAAGAAATGGAGGAGGCAGAGAGATCAGGAGGCAAGGAGGGGAGTGTGTGGTGCATGAATATATACCCTCACAGCGCCTCTTGGGGAAAGACAGCATGAACCTTCGAGAGGCAAAGAAAAGGCTGTATTCTGCCTGTCTCCCGTCGTCCACCCCTGGGCCCGGCGGTTGCTGATGCGTTAGCGGTCCCGTCGTGAGCTCGCCCATGACAAACGACTGGCCGAGAGAGGGAGCTGAGCACCTAACCGCCAGCCATGGATCAACGCAAGCGTTCTATTTCGAGGAAGCAACCCATGGGCGGGAGGCTGGTCTGACCTCTTGCGTTCAAGAATACGCGCTCACATCTGCGATGATGTTACAAGGCCCCCTGACAAGAATAGCAGCAAATCCTCCTCTTTTCTTCTTTTCACAGGGCGAGCAGAGCGAAGAGAGAGCGAAAGGCGGAAAAAGCAAAAGGGAAGCAGAAGAAGACGTGATCCACAGTGGCCAAGCTTCAAGCCAGACCAGCATGGCCAAATCATGCCTGCTCTGGATGCAGGTGAGGGCGCCAATCTGAAGATGCAGGCCTTGCGGGCGAGATCATTCGTTGATGGTCAAGCGTGAAGGGAAGATGCAGGCCCAATCACATCATGCAGACAGACGGGCGTCAAGTGTTTCATGCATTGTTTGAGACTGTCTTCCTGGCCTGTCCTGCTTTGGTCGACGATGATGACTCTTTGGGGTCCTATATAGTTGACTATTTTGGGCAGTTTTTGGCGTTGCCTGATTGAGCTGTCGATGTTGATGGATGTCGATTTCCGCCTTGTCCTGGTTGATAGCCCGGCGCATTTCCACGGGCCGTTAGATTGCCTTTAGATGCCCTCACTACCACTGCCTAGGTAGGCAGTTGACTAACCAACCTCGCAGGGTAGAGTCTACTTAGTGTAGTTACTCTGACGCCAGATGGATAGCACCAGACAGCCCCTCCGTATGCTCTTATCATGTTGACTATTTTGACTTTTGGGTCGTAAAATAATATTCCGTTATCGTCTGTTCTCCATCCAGGCCAGGCCTGTTTGCCTGCATCGTAAGTCGTATCTGGAATATAAGTTGTCACTCTGGAGTTAGGTGTAGCGTGTGTATAACCCCTGCTCAACGACACTGGCCGGCCAATCCACGAGCGTACTGCTGTTTGTGTCCTCCATTCTGCGACAAGCTTAGATGTTACGGGGAAAAGGGCCCGTGTCGTTGGCGGCATGCATGAAGAATTTTTTTTTTTTTTTTTTTTCATTTTTATTCCCTTGGGTCTTGTCTGGTGGGTTTGATGCGACTGAGCATCCAGCATGAACCAACACGGCTTCGTTGGTGGTGGTTGACGAGCGACGTGGATGCCGCTGAGTCGAGAGACGCCCTTGTCATTGCAGTCGTGTTTTATCATGTGTTTCATCACGAGTCCTCGTCCTTCCTGATGCGTTGTTCGTTCTCGCGGTCGCCTGTCGCCTGTCGCCTGTCGCTGTTCTCCTGATGCTGGGACGATGTCATGGGAGCGGAGCCTAAGCTTGTGTGATAGGAGGACAGCAGCGTACAGCGGCCGTTCTCCCGTTCCTCTAGGCCGTTGCATGCAGCTAGACATTAGTGTGTAACTCAGCACATCGGTGGACTGCTCGTCCATTATTCATGGTTAATCATAAACTCCCTACAGAGTAGACAGCAGCGTAGTTGGTTGTGTTATCGGAGCTACTTGAGCGACTGTACTCGTCGTACTCGGTCGCCCGTCTCTTTGGCAGCTCGACTCGATCCTGGTGATGACCAAATTTGGGGCCAATAGTAGCCGTAATCATAGCCATAGCGAGAGACTCCCGTCAAGCCGAGATCGTACATAGAGTTAGTAAGAAGACATCGAGCGTGCAAGGCTGTTATTTTTATGACATGTGGGCTTGCTTGAAACTCCTTCCAGTCCTTAACTGTTGGCTCCAAGGCTGCTTGGTTGATTGCTCTTTCGGATGCTCTGACGGCCTGTTCCTTCAGCGATTCTAGTTCCACCCAGGCGCTAACTCTGATCACAGAAATAGAACAGGCCGTTAATTAGCTAACTCGTTGTTTAGTTTGTACTTTTATGCACCCTTGGATGCTGGCCCTTGTCATTATATCGCAGTCCCCGCAACTGCATAAAATATCAGCGCATATGTAATGTGTGCTCTTCACCCTTCTTCCAATTAAGGGGACGCAACAAATAACTCATTTCCAGGTATGAAAGGGCACCTCTTGAATGATGGGATGGAGTTGGAAACATCATGATCTCGGCTTGTCGTACACCGTTCGGCAGCCGGAATCTGGCTTCCAACGTGGGTCTTCTAGGAAACGCCACAATTTCTGAAAGCGAATTCACAGCATCTTTTGGCCTTCCATCCGATCTATTGTTACTTAAACTAGTTCTGAAACAAGGGTGCCTTGGAAGGAGTTTGGATCTGTGAGCGGCTCCATACAGAGCACGGAACCTGAAGATCCGGCTGCGGGAGTTTTGATCATGGGTACTCCGTAGTCTCCAAGAATGAAGGAACTGGCTGCATCCCTGCCCCTGGCTAGGAACCCTCGGCACCTTGGATACAGGCAACTGATGCCCCTGTTGGCGTTCAACGGCCTTCCTGACTGGTACGACTTCCAGTTCCAGCTTTAGCGGGACAGAGAAACGATTGGGCAGCACCAGAAGCTTCGAAACAGGGAAGAACTCGGTCGAGGGAGCCTGCACATTTTTGATAGACCTAGGCAAGTTGAAACCGCGGAATCGGATGAGATTGATGGAGTGCCAGTCGGTATTAGGCCTCTATAACTAGCCCATGCATGCATGACTTTTCTTCCGCCGCCAACGTAGGTGCCAACTTCTGCGTTTCGTCTTTTGCGATGGACAGTCCAGGCATCATTTAGACCGACTTCTATGCATGGCAAAGTCTGTCTCGAAGATCATGTAACTAAGGTAGGTGAAATGACCCCAGAAACCGTTCTTCTCATTTTGTAACACTCATAGCGAACTAAGCAGGCACACATGGCTGGTATATTCTTTTATGTCAAGCGTACCTTATCACAATGTTAGCATCGCGGTGCAGTGTAAAATTTAAGGAAGTTACCTACTTGAGAGGCCTTATACTCGTGTCTCTGGCAAGACAGCTAACTAACCAATGAACCCATTGCCTATAGGTTCTCTCCCGTCCATGGATGAATTACTTATTTACACGCCTCCTTTGTCTGTCGTGAAGCGCACCATCGCGCTTTCGGGTCAAAATGGTGTATTTTCATATCTTCCTGAGGCGGAGTGCATGTTATGTATGTATGCATCATGATGACAGCCAAGCATGGCGGATGCTAGCAGTGCCATCTAGTGGTATCATCTAGAGCCGTCTGCCCCCTATCTGTTGCCTACTATCCATCGCAAACGTCGAGGGGACAGGCAACAAGGGTTCGCCTTATTAGAACGACGGTAACGCGTCTTTGATGCCTTGGATGTCAAGATGCTGTTTGATGTCTCGAGGTCCAACGCCATCTCTAACTACTAGTTAACTACGTCATCGGCCAGCGAGTTAACTAACTAGTCAGCCTTTCCCGATTCGTCAACATTCGAGCCCTCTCGCTTCCTTTATGCTCTCTCTAGCCGCCCATTTTCTTGGGCCTGGCGATCCCAACAGATAACAGGAGTTATTAATATCACAGTTTGTTTCTTCAGCATGGCTCGTTGGTTATCCTCTCTTGCAGGATAAAAATAGCATGGCTAGTTAGTTAATCAACTGGTCAGTTCGTTAGCCGTTGCACGGGCTGCTGTTGCTCAGCGCTTCGACTCCAGGACCTGACCTCATCCACTAACTCAACTATATACCACCAACAACACAGCTCAGCCGAGCCAACGCCTAAGTGACCATAAGCAATGAAACTCTGGCTGAAAGAGAATTGTTTGGAAAAGAATCATGCAGATTCCATATAACCAACTGGAGATTGCTCAGCAAAGCATCTTGCAGAACCAGCGTAGGGTCCTGCTGCGTCAAGGAGCTTCCCCTTCTGCAGGTTCCTAGCCCTGGACCCCTTCTTGAGTGATGAAGTTGAATAACTACTTATGCATAAGAAGGCTCTATCTATCCCATCCTTTGCATGGGGGCCAGAGTATTTCTTGTTATGGCTAATAACCCAGAAGGCATTGAAACTGGTAGAAGGCATAAACAGAGTCGCCTGCGTTTTACGCCCGCTTCCCCATGGCTATATCATCCCCTTGATATGGCATCTGGACGGAAGATACACTAGGATGATACTATGCACACTTTCCCGGTTCGTAGTAATATTCTGCATTTCTTTCTCTTCTCACCTGATTGTGTATTATCCTGGTGGGCAAAAGACGGCTCCGTTTCCCAGCAGGAGAAGGAGTCAACGCTTGATCGTGTCCTCCATGTCTCTCTGGGTACATGAAATCCCGTCCAGTGACCAAGCTCAGCTACTTGACCAACCCGCCCTGGGGACGAGTCTCAATGGGCTCTTTGTACCCCATGATCCACACATGCAGCGTTGTCGCCCCCTCTCCAGATAAATCAGATATCATCTGAGCCCGAGTTCCCTGAGATACCGCCGTAAAAGCACAAGTGGATTTAGTACTCCATCGTTATGGAGAAGATGAGACGGATATGCGTTGGCCCTATCTTCCAACTTCTACCAACAGACTATTCTATTTTGCGGGGATATTCAACCCAAGCAGGCTGATATTCCTTTTTGGGTGGCATTAACCGCCGGTTGCGAAATGAATCTGTGCTCCGTCACTATATAAAATAGGAGAGGGGGCGATATGGCACGTCATCTAAATTACACGAGAACAGAAAATAGTCCAAAAATCCGGAGATCAGGTACATACACAGGGGCGCTGTCCTGCGGGATAGGCCGGCTATATAATTTAGTCGACGACGTGTGCGAGGACATTTCCCCTACTATTTCATGCGCGTTCAGGTACCTGTTGATCAATGGCCAGTAAGAGTACTGATATTCGACCCCTTTTGCCGTCCATCAAGTAAATCGGTGTCGATGCATCATGAAATTGACGCTGATCGGTGTGTGAAGAAACCTGTTTTGAGCGTTGCGTTGCCAATGCACATTCAAATGTTGCCCTGTGAGACCTCTCACAGAAACTGCTGATCCGTGTAGACAATCTCCGCAACAGACTTCGACTTTCTCACTCCAAGGCTTGCCATGAACTAAGGAAAACAGTCAGAAGGTTAAAATATCGGACGGCAAGTATGTTACACGACGTCGCCGGGTCGAGCACCGTCTTGCCATGACACGGAATCAGGGGTAGCAGCATCAACACCAACAGCACCCGGTCGCTGGTGTTAAATAGCAGGCATTGAACCCTCCTCATCCTCTTATTTCTGGCCTCTTCAATATCATCCATTCACTCGTTTAGTTCTCCTACTATCCCATCTCCTTACTCACATTCATTTGTTCCTTCACCAACCAAACTCTATCAAGGTGAACTTGCCAGATGCTAGCACCCGCCTACCAATATAAAAATTACATGTATTAACAAAGAGATAGAACCTATCTACGAAAATGAAGTTCCAGGCTGTCCTTGTCTTCTTTGCCGGTGCTTTGGCTCTTGCCGCCCCTATTGAAGAGCGAGACCTCCCTGTTGTTGGAACTCTTGGGGTAAGTCACCGTACCAATGGACACGACACATCGTCAAGGCTGGAACCCGTGAAAAGTAATGGACTACTTTGCTAACCATTTCTTTAGAGTGCTGCTACTCTCGCCGTACGTTATCAACATCACTGATTGAAAAACCAGCTGTAGTTGAGCAGTTTGCTAACGTGGCATTTTTGTCCCTATCAGAAATCAGCAAAAGGCGCTGTAAGTAAACATCGCACAAATCTTCAGATCGTGACTTGCTGATCGATTATTCAAGGCCGGCAAGGTCGCACCATCCGCTGTTGACAATCTACCAGCTGGAGGCCTTGTAAAAGGCTTGCCCTTGGCTGGAGGCCTCCTTGGAGGTGGCGCTGTAAGTTTTCCCAGGAAAGCCTTAAGAAAAAGAACCCAACCCGGAAGAACTGACACTCACTTTTATTTTCAATTTAGCAAGTGAGTAATTCCCGAGCATTCTAAACCTGTGTCAGATAGGTTTTGAAATCCTATCTTACATCGGTGATATCATATCGCTCTTTGGTGGGTGTCAAACAAAACAAGCATTTGCTGACAGCAAAAACCGTGACGTATAGTAAATCAGTGAACGGTATCATGAGTGACTTTGCCGGAAAAGTCATGGATTCCAGGGCTTCTCTTCTTGTTATACCTTTTTTTAGTGTCTATGGTGAATTGCTTAAACATTCTGCAATGTGGAAACTGGCCAAGTCGGAATTCTGGTAAGATGACTCCCGCCCGTCTTGAAGATTCCCCTTCACGGTCTAACACCTCGTAAGATAGATCATTTAGGCCTTGGGTTTCCTTATGTGGCTTTTCGGATACTAATGGATGGAATGCGATCATGCAGAGGGTATACTAGCAATTCATCATCAGATACGCCTTAAATCATTTTAGTCAGCCACAGCTGTCTTGTCTTCCTTCATCTTCTGAGATTTAAGCTTGTAGTTGCTTCGGCTTTTTTTTTTCAAGTAAAAGTCAAATAATCCCTACCGCGTCAAAGTCACGTGTAATTAAGATTCTGACCAATGATATGCATCTGATGACATGTATTTCTTGGCATTGGTGGGAAAAGCGCCAGTGTGACGATAATAAAAGCATCATACAAAGGCGTTGTTGTAGCTTCGTAAGTGTTGCTTATCTCGGTCAATGTCGACAGCATTATTCTGATACCCCAAGCCAGTTATGTCTGCTTCAGCAGCAGAGACGGAAATGGGGGAGTGTCGAGGTGGGGCTCCAGGCCAAATCAAAGACATTGAAAAGTTACCACAGGATTCTCCTTCGGCTGAAAGAGAGGAGCCAACATCGATATTTAGAAACCTGGGTATTCTAGACAGATATTTGGCCTTATGGATCTTTCTAGCGATGGCAATCGGGATAATACTCGGAAATTTTGTTGATAACATAGGACGCTCTTTACAGAAGGGTGCCCTTGTGGGGGTTTCGCTGCCGATTTGTAAGTTATCCATGCTTCTCAGCCTTGATTCTTGGGCCGAGACCATCTTCTGTAGCCTTTATTTGATGACTAGATCGAGGTTGATACTAACCGGTACTTTCACGAAGCCATCGGATTGCTCGTCATGATGTACCCAATTCTGTGTAAAGTGCGCTTCGAGTCTTTGCATCAAGTGTTCAGAACTCGTGAGATATGGATTCAAATGGCTTTTAGCATATTCATAAACTGGATAATTGCTCCATTCCTTATGGTAGGAACATGCTGATCTGAGCTTAAGCGACCAAGAAACTTGCTAATGTATCCATTTCAAAGCTGGCGCTTGCGTGGGCGTTTCTACCGGATAAACCTGAATTGCGAGAGGGGCTGATTCTGGTTGGTCTAGCAAGGTGTATTGCCATGGTATATCTCCGATTCGCATCTCCTAGTGCGCATGTCTGCTGACTGCCCTCGCTCAGGTTCTCATTTGGACGGGCCTTGCAGGAGGGGACAATGAATATTGTGCGATATTAGTCGCTATCAACTCATTACTGCAGATGGTACTCTTTGCTCCTCTTGCGCTATTATTCATCAAAATAATTAGCCATTCGGAGGGCACAATCCCGCTGTCCTATCCAGTCGTCGCAAAGAGCGTTGCTGTGTTCTTAGGAATACCTCTCGGTGCTGCCATAGTCACCCGATTTACACTGCGGAAGACTGCTGGGCCCGTCTGGTACGATAACATATTCATCAAGTGGCTTAGTCCTTGGTCCTTGATTGGGCTGCTGTTCATCATTCTGGCACTTTTCGCTTCCCAGGGAAAGCAAGTTGTTGATCAAATCGTATCCGTGGTTCGGGTTGCTGCACCTCTTCTGGTATATTTCATCATTGTTTTTTTCAGTACGTTATACATCACTTATCGACTGGGCTTTGGATATCGGTTGTCAACAACGCAGAGTTTTACCGCGGCGAGTAATAACTTTGAGCTTGCTATCGCTGTTGCAATTGCAACATTTGGTGCTGATAGTAGCCAAGCGCTGGCATCCACCGTTGGTCCGTTGATAGAAGTCCCTGTGCTGCTAGGTCTGGTTTATGTTGCGCGATTTGTCGCGAAAAGGGTAAATTGGAAACCCTAGAGACGGTACTGAGTTCTGAACTTGTGGTAGCAAGCGTTTTGTTCGATTTCTAGCAACTCTTGCCTATAGAAATATAGAAAATGTCATTCATAATTCCGGTTTTTTGTATCGTCAACATGCGGATATTTAAAAGCATCAACCCTCAAAATATCTGTCCTTATTGACAAGAGACGTAAACAGCAGACGCGCGCTTCTTCGCGGTTAAAATACGCTAGTTATGAAAGGTGACTAAGCGACTATGGCACGTGAATGGATCAAACTTTAATTTACGGCGGGCTTATCGATAACAAAAATCTGCCTCCCAAGAATTAATATTAATGAGCAACAACACTCGAAGTGATGAGAAAGAAGTGACTAGCGGAAGACCAAGAAGAAACAAGATATAACCATGCCTCCAACATTATGTTTCAACTGCAAGGCTGCGCGAGCAGTTATAATTCGACCGAAAAACCGCCATAAGCTATGCAAAGATTGCTTCCTTACCATTTTTGAAACGGAAACCCATCAAACAATCACAAACGGCTCGCTCTTCGTTCCTGGTGAACGGGTTGCTATTGGTGCGAGTGGTGGAAAAGATAGTACTGTTCTTGCTTCTGTCTTAAAGACATTGAACGAGCGATATAATTATGGCCTTGACCTGGTTTTACTTTCCATTGACGAAGGCATAAAGGGCTACCGTGATGACAGTCTGGAGACGGTAAAGCGAAATGCGATCCAATACGAAATGCCACTTGAAATAGTCAGCTATGGAGAACTATATGGTTGGACAATGGACCAGGTTGTTGCAGAAATTGGGAAAAAGGGTAACTGCACATACTGTGGTGTCTTTCGACGCCAGGCTCTTGACCGTGGCGCTGCAAAACTAAATATCAAGCACGTTGTTACCGGACACAATGCCGACGATGTTGCGGAAACGGTTATGATGAATTTACTACGTGGTGACCTTCCTCGTCTTGCACGCTCGACCAGCATAATTACGGGTTCGGCCGCCAGCGATATCAAAAGGAGCAAGCCTTTGAAATATGCGTATGAAAAGGAGATTGTTCTATATGCTCACCATAAAAAGCTTGATTACTTCAGCACTGAGTGCATATATTCCCCAGAAGCGTTTAGGGGGAGTGCCAGGACCCTTATCAAGGATCTGGAGAGAATTCGGCCTAGCGCTATTCTCGATATTGTCCGGAGCGGGGAGGATATGGCTAAATTGGTGCCAGCTGAGGTATGTGGAGGCATCGGGTGCTCATCCATAAAATCCAATGGAGTCGATGAGCTCTCCACAGGCGGTTGTGGAAGTCAGAATGGAAGAAGCAGCGGCGGAGAAATGGCAGATATGGAGAAGAAGCTCACTGAAGATGAAGACGCTAAGTCTCGCGAGGTAGAGATATCACTATCTTCTCTGCCAAAGAAACCCGGAAAATCTATCTCGTCACATCCGTCTGTGGCAATCCAGAGCTGTGACAAGAAGCAAAAACCCCTAAAGACGCAAACGATAGGACAATGTGAAAAGTGTGGTTATATGTCGAGCCAAAAAATATGCAAGGCGTGTATGCTTCTTGAAGGATTGAATAAAAGTCGGCCAAAAACAAGTGTGGAATTTGTTGGGGTCGAGGAGGAGGAAGGCAGTTCGACATTAATGAGACAAATGGAAGGCCTTCAGCTATCTAGAAGCTGAAAATCAAGGGTAGTCTCTCCTTGATTATGAGACCCGGTAGCCTGCCATGGAGGTACTACACTTCAATGCACTTCACCAACCCCTTTTATTCCTAGCCAAAAATTGGCAAGGCTAATACAGGGGCTGGTAGTGAGGCCAAGGAAAATTAACACCCGGAACATCCACAGATATCAGACGTCATTTCAAATGGCTTACTTTAACGTGCCAATGTCGTGGCCTTACTAGAGTCGGTGTCTATCAGCCGCTTCGCAACGAAACTATATCCCGAGTTATCGCAGCTTTTTATTGCCTATATGCCACAAATTGGTTTAACTCGCGTGGCTGCTAATACTATCATATTGATATAGCATATCAGAAAAGTTTAGATCAGCTATCCAAAACTAGATATGCTTACTTTTCACCTGTCACGCGAGACCCCAGCAGATATATTGGTTCAACGCTAAAACAAGAAGGGTTAAATAACTACAAAGAAACAGAATAAATAATAAATCAGAATGACCGTATATGTCAAAGCGTTGGAGCCTCCCAATTGGCCCTCTTGAGCCTCATAATAGCGCATTGTTTTTGTGGGAGGGCAAACTCTCCTTCCTTATAGAAGCCCGCTTCGATAAGACTGGAAAGATACCTGTCGGAAAGCTGTTAGTTGATTTGGAAGCGTGTAGATAATAAAGGGCATTACTTACTCCTCGTCATCAACTCTAGGTCCGACAGCAATAGCTTGGGTTCTGTTGTCTGCTAACAAACAGTAATGGATAAGTGCGTTTAGCCACACTTGGGTTTGATGAGGCCTTCTATCTTCCTCATCCAAAACTGTACATCGAATACCACGGTCAAAATCGTCAACAAGGACAGGCAACGGTCGCTGGACCGACCCCTCCTTGACCCAGAATATCTCGAAATATCCAAACGGCTTGCCGTTCCAACATCCTAGTGCAGGAAATAGGTGCTTAGAGGTAAGGCGAGCCTTGATAAACTCATCTTGAATATTAACCGGTCCGCCTGAACCCCATATTTCCTTAGCTTTCGGTGTGTTTAGTATCGTATGCAGGAATTCAAGGTCTGATCCCCGAGGTTTGAGCACAAGGGGCTTGATACTTTCAAGCATGTTGTTGTGGTTTATGCACAGCGCTCTATGGTACCGGCCTAACGCAGTCTCCTCCGTATCAGGCGGCGAAGTTGTAAAAAGGCTCGGAACACGAAATGATAGCGTTTTCTGTAGACTAGGGATGTGGCGGATGTAGAATGTTTCGCCTTGGCGAGGGGGTTTTTGACGGATTGGATGCCGAAGCCACCCATCAAGCATGACCCATTGGGCTGGTGGCGGAGGAAAATAGGATGGTACATGGCCACTGGAATAAAATGACCCAAGAGGAGCAGGGGAAGCGGACATCCGATTACCCCGGTTGTAGCTCTCTGCTGGGGAGCTAGTCCCTGAACGAGATGGCGATTCTGACTTCGGAGTCATATCAGGCGTAAGAGAGAAGAGAAAGATATGAGGATCGATCTGCCAAAAGCTCCTACGGCTGACGAACATGTCCAGCTTCTCTGGAGGACCATTTGGGTCTTCAAGTCCAACGATTGAGTTCTCTGTTGTAACCAGACCCATCCTCTCCAGTTTGAGCAATAAGTTCCGGCCCTTAAGAAGCCCTTCATGCCTGATATGTACCACCCATTCCCCCCTTGGTCGAGCTCGTTCTGGAACCGCGGCTGACTCTTTGGTAGTGAGACGGCTACTCGGCGCCGCTTGGTGAAAGTACCAATATAAGGTTGACCAAAGAATCAGTGCAAGTTGACATGTTGCGATGGATTTGGGTACAACAGCTTTACTTGAAGCAAAGTGTATTGATGATATGAAGAAATAGTCGCTGTCTAGGGTTGGGTGGGTGTAACGGTTTGACTCCCATTCGAATGGATTCTTGTCTTCGTTTTTGGGGGTTTCGTCAAAATAGTCATCAGAATTTGCCTCAGCTTTGGAGGCCTTAGGCTCACGCAGGGAGTTTATCACGATTGACCATCCTGACGGTAAAAGGCTCCCTTCACTCGAGTTAAGTTTAGCAGCCTTAAAGGAAAATCCTCCAAAAACTGGGGTTACATTGAGCGTGTAACCATCAGGGAGGAGAATAGTAGTGGGTGTAGGCATTATTTCATATGAACATAGATTTAGCCTTTGGGACGAAGCATGAAAATTGCAAAGAAGTAATATTCGCTGGAATATGGCATAATGGAATGTCCGTGTTGCTGCATAATCAACCAGAGTCGTATGTGTCTTCTTGTGCACAATATATATATGCCGTGTTTAAATATGGTCTTGACTCCGGGGTCCGATGACATCAATATTCCGAGTTTGGTTATGATGCAAGAACTTCGCTGCGAAAAACCTTCTTCAGCCTCGGTCCAGAAAATCGGGGTTCTGATGAATTGCTGCCAAACCAGAATGCAGCGATTCAATAGAGGCCTTATCGCGGTTCGTCTTGTGTGAATCAAGCGGTAGAGAAACCCCCCTGCGTCAGACAAGGTACTAAATCCAGCTGCTATTTATAGCCAACATATCCAAACATGTATGTGCTAATGGTTGCAGCCGATATCGATTCAGCTGCCAAAGTGCAGGGAAGGTGTTGCTTCCCTACTCTATTGCACGATGAATAGTTCTTTACCTAGAACGAGATCCAACACACCTAATAGAACACTATCATAAATGACACCCTCAACTTTTAATCCAGTAAAAAAAATCACCTTTCGGAAATTTTGCCACTCTCGGCGAAATTATCCGCCATGATAAGCTCTCCAACCTCCACAAGGCACAGGGGGTCAAGTTCGGCCTGAATTATTTCCCCTGAGTCTTGGAGGCAAGATTCGAGTGTATCCACCACCACACACTACTCCACGACTCGGGCAATTATTACGGATCCGGCAAACCTCCGCAGCGTCATTGAGGATGCGGGGGTCCAATTCGGTAATGTTTGGCCGACACGACCCTGCTGCAGTGATTAATCGACCCTTTGCGCCTGTATATCGTGTAGAGTGTAAGTATTCCGCAGGAAATAGTGGGATATATGTGCAAGTGCAGCGGAATATCATGTCTGCTTTGGTGACACTGTTCATCAGATCTCACCCATAGCCTTTAAATCCAGGGCTAACGCTTGCTTGAAAATTTGACATCAGGTCACCATTGTATCTGAGAGAGCAAGTATATGTCTCCTAAAACCTTGCTAGTACGATAAAACGAACGGTTGCATATGTCGACGTTCTTGAACTGGGATCCTCGGGGAAGCAATGCAAGGCATATCACTATGCCAAAAAGCAAGTCGACCAGCCCTCAAAATGGTAATATTTTCGAACTTTTGCCGCCTTCCAAAAAGGAGCAATGAGCATAAGCCTGCCCTAAATGGAACAAAATCTTCAATACTTATGAGGGCTGTTTGCATCCAAGACGCGTTCGTTAATTTGGGATATCCGGATCTGGGGCCTTGAGAACTCTCGATCCGGGGGGTAGGTCCGTGATTGGTATTTAAAGAAAGGGCACCTTTTATCTCCCTCGGAGACCGTGAAATTGAGAAGCCTGTTGGTCCAGATAATGTGGGTGTAATCGAGTTCTGGTAGCTTCTTGAATTTGAGGCCCTGGGGAAAGAGAGGGAGACAGGTCAGCTTCTGCTTCTCATCCCTCGGTCCTCAGGGACATTCAACATCTCGAGCCCAGTGGCTTCTCCAAACACTAGGGCACCAAGACCGAGTCAAGTCCACCTTGCTTTTGAATAAGAGTTTGCCGCTGTACCTCACGGCCCGACTCACCGGCGTGGGTACAGCATGCTAGTTACCGAGACATTCGCGTAACAGATCAAGATGGCTTGCTGGATATCGCCCGCTACCGGCTAGTTAACTAGTTATGGTGACTGAGTAGGTTCAAGGGCACTCGAACCGTGGTTCGAAGGGGTCTCCTAGGCTCCTTTATCCGTGGAGAAGTTCCAGGCTCGCTTCCATATTGGAGATCCATCCCTTTGTGCGACGTCTTCAGTCGCTTCCGCTGGTCGCTGGTCATGCTGGAGCTCGCGCGATTTCCACAAGGCTTGTCAGCGGCCTGACACGTTCACATGGAGGAGAGACGTGAGAGAAGGCAATGAAATGCTGTAACTTCCGATGTGGATAGTCTCCGCGGGAGCTGTGCTGCACGATGGTTGACGCGTTGATGGCAGCGTGCGGACTTGCGCCTCCACCTCGCCCTAATCCCGATCCGGCATCTCGTCGTATTCTTCGCGCGCTTGGGAGGGACAAAGCGCATGCCAAGTCCGCGTTAAGCTTAAACGGTTGTTGAGCCCCATCTTGCTGGCCCGCGGCTGTTCCTTGAAGTGGAGACCGGCCAGAGAAGAGACAAGCAGCGCTGGAGATAAATTATAACATAAAAAAGAGGAGAACTGCTCCAGCCAGGCCAGGCCGTTGACTTTTTCTGGGAAATGTCAACCAGCTTATTAACGGGTCTCTTCGCCCGTTTACCGTCTCTCGTTTTTCTTTCACACTTTGTTAAATTTCTTCACTATCCAACGAACAAGCAGCCATCATGTCCTGGCCGTTATCTCCCTCAACATCAACGTCTTCCCCCCTGACTTCTCTGCCATCATCTCCATCTTCACGCATATTTCACATATACAATTCATTCCCGGTACATTATAAGATATCAGACCCGCAGAAACGGCCTCTATACCATGTTGACAACTCGTACTTCACTCCAGGGACGCCTGACCTAAGCCTCTACCGGGGAGAGGATAAAAAGGGACACTTGGCTGCCGTTTGCAAATTTGTCTTATTCTCGACATGCTCGAAGATTGGATTGATGCCTAAACCGCAAAAGAGCTATCACGACCGTCTTAACAATGATGTATTCGAGATCGGCCATGTCAGCACGAATGCCGAAGATATGACTTGGGAAGACCTGACAAGGGAAAGCCGTGACCATTCAACGTATAGATTTGAGATGGAGCTTCTAGTTCAAAGTATGAAGCGAGGGCCAGAATTTGGACGTCGTGCCTTCGTCTGGAAGAGGACTCATTCTATGGGAGTGGAATCGTCGAAACCTTCCAAGCTAAGTGCGTGCAATTATAAGCTTGTTGACGAGGAGAGCGGAAAAATCATGGCTGTTATTGCCAATAACGGATTGAAAAGCATGAATAAGAAGGGAAAGATTGAATTGTTTGACACATCAGAGTATGCATTTGCAGGGGAACAGCTGGATATCATGATTTTGATGACCGGGGTCGCCCTTTTAGAAAAGGAGAGGAGACGAAGAGCACAGCGCAGATACGATTATTATTAAGCTGATAACTAGTCACCTTGGCTGGCCAGGGTGCAGTGGCCGTTTACCCGCATATGATACCCGCTAAAAGGACAATTGCTGCATGTTTTATGAATTTTTTGAGCAAAGCGTCATTGAATGATGCTATTCCTGGGAGCCTTCCGAGGCTTGAAAGGCTCGACTTCGATAGGCTCTATTGGATTCTAAGGGTTAGTTAACTACTTATGTCCAATCACTGAAGAGCACCCCATGGATGCTCGCTTAACTATCCTACGAACTCTGAGCCATCCTTAATCAACCTAAACAAGCGCTATCTCGAAGAAACTCCTGTCCTTTTTGTAATATGCACTGGGCAGAGAAATAGAAGAGAGGTCTATATGCAAAGAGCTTGATTGACAGAACCGGTGAAATTGGAATTGTCTCCAAGTCCAGGTGCGTGTGATTAACGAAAATGGCATTGCTTTCTTTCGCGGGATAACGGGTTGATTCTTTGACCTAGGTCTCGTCAATTGATACCCCATCTCTAAGGTGTGCAAAGTACGGCCCCAGCAGTAAGGATATCGGGTAATCGGTAGCAATTGGTGGGATCAGGGTCAGAACCCAGTGTGGTGGCCTACTCACTTCAAAATGGCATGACCAACCGTTCTCAAACATTCACTCCCATACAGACTGTTAAACACGCCGCAGCGCAAGTATCCAGATATGACTCGCCGCTGGGACACGTCGACTTAACTAGTTCTAGCCCTCTATAGGAGAGCATGCTGGTGTAACGCCCAACAAACTAGTCAGCTAATTAGTTAACTAGTTAACTACTCGCCACATCTGCATTAACGCCATCCTTTGCTGCAAACAAGGAGAATCGTGGGCGCTATACCTGTAGGCACTTGACTGGGATTATCAGGCCAGTGTGCAGATAACCTCAGGTGCCTGCGTGGATGTTGAGTGACGCTGGGGCTACGGCTATAGCCATGCAGGCACGAGGGCGAGAAGGCCAGGAAGACTGCCATCGATTTTGCCACAAATTAGTGACTGTGGTCAGCAGGACAGAAGCATGCGACCTCAAAAAGACTAAAAGTATTTAAATATCACATCTAGGCTTACAATAGATCATATATTTAGGATGCAACCGATCGGTAAAGTGTGGTCTATGCATTCGTCCCATGTGGAAGGCGTTTCGTCGCCTTTGGGGGTTAAAGGTCTAGCATCTCCAGATACCAATCCCTCCTTGGGTTTTCACGTACCGGTTCATATGGGCTCCTTGCCAGCGGCAGGAATCAACCCATACTTGATGTATTAGTTAATTAGTTATCTACCGGATGGGAATTACAAAAGTGTAAAAAATGGGGAGTGGAAGGACCATAAATTGGGAATGTGGCTTCTGCATGCAAATATTTCTCGCTCCTTCACTCAATTACCAAGAGGACTGGTTTTCTTCCATACAAATAAGCCATGAATGTTGATCATGGCTACGTGGTTAAGTCCTTAAAATATAGAAAAGGGTAAACCACAGTGGCGTGCTGAGCAGAGTTAGCAGTACTTATACCCGGCTAGATGGCCAAATTGGTATACCAAATAATGCCTCCAACTGCCCTATTCACCACCATTTCCATCATTTCTTTGCCTGGAGGCATCTAGCAACTGGCTGAAAGTCCAATTGAGCCCGATTTTTCTTTATATCAAAATGACAATTGACAATACCTCAGAGGGTGATATCCCGCATACCAGCTATTATGACTCTGTTTACATGGCAAAGGCTCTCGATTCAGCATTAGACATGGAGTTCGAGGGATTCGATGATGGAAAACTGTACTGGGACATGTTCCTGAGACTCGACCGAACCCAGCAATCTCCTACGGATCCCACTATCGTCTTGGACGTTGGAGCAGGCTCCGGCCGTATTTTCCGCAAAATGGCGTCAAAAGCAGCCAAAGCAGGCGAAGATCTGAGTGATGTCAGATTTATTGGGCTCGACAAGTCTTCTTCCATGGTTGAGCGAGCAAAAAGCAGAGCTTCTGAGCTTTCTGACGTTGGCAGCGTCACTTGGATTGTGGGCGATGCGAGCGACATGCTCGCTCAGCCAGACCTTTCTCAACTCAGAGGGCAATTGAGCTTTGTTCTCTGTGCAGATGGGGGGATCGGTTATATTGAGGGTGAGGCGAACATACATGCCTTCTTCTACCATATCGCCAAGTTATTACGCCCCGGGAGCGGTAGAGCTTGTATCTCTCTTCTCGAATTCCAGGTAGCTGGAGCATACAAAGATGGTGTGGTTCCAAGCACTTACGATGAATCTACGGAATCCATGGACGAATATAGCAAGGGTTCCTCGTTGTCCTTTAAACCTATCTTCCACCGCGAGTACGTTGAGGATGGTCACCATATGGGACGGCTCGATACAGAAATATCAAAGGTAGATAAGGAGGGCAACAAGACAGTCCTTGAGATCTGCCATTATACCCATAGATTTCGTATCTGGAGCATTGAGGACATGATTCAGACGGCGGAAAAGGCAGGGCTAAAGCATGTTGAGACTATCGACTGGCAACGGATGCAGCATTTTGTGTTCACGGTACCTGAGGCGAACTAGCAATCGCCCTGAGACGTTCAACATGTAGATATATGGCAAGCATCTCTGTATCTAAGCCATTTTTATGCGAGCTTCAACGTAACTAGTAGATGCACAATGATAGGAATTACACTTTCAGCAAGGAATTCCAAATTTAGCTATTCCGTGGTGAAAATAAATAAATAGATAAATAATAGATGAATAAACGAATAGTGATTAGAATATATAGACAACCCTTATACCAGGGAGATGAAACGGAGATAAAAGAAATGGAACAAAGGAAAGAATCATAGTTGTTTAATCTATGACCACATATCTTCGTCACTCTTAACTAGGTCCTCTTCCACCAACACTCTAGGCCCATCCCGTTTCTGTCTTTGCTTCCGCTCCTGGCGGGTGACAACATGGCTGGGAGTTAGGGGGGTAATGGGGGTAAAGGGCATATATGGGCTGTATGGCGTTCGAGGAACACCAGTCCGTGGTCCATGCAAAAGACTCGTCCTTCGCTCAACGATGGTGGTCTTGGTGGATGGGGCGCTCATGGGGCTATCGTAAGCAACGCGGAACGGCAGTGGAGGTGTGCTGTGAGCTGTATTGATGTTCAATGATGGAGGAGTAGGGCGGAATTTGCGGCTATCTAGTGACTCTTTGCTGGGAGGAGAAGTGAGGAATGATGGGGGAGGTGCCGTGCTGGGCTGAGGGGAGTTCAATTTTGCCTGTTCATGGGGAGTCAGGGGAGGAGGTCCTGGATTATAAGTGCGAGGTGAGAGAGGTTGTCTATCAGGGTAGTCCCGAGAGTTCAGTTCGGGTGAGCCCATGGGGGATGAAATGTGAAGTCCCCGTATAGAGCTACGGCCAAGCAGCTTCTTTGGCGAAGATGTGGAGTTCTTCGATCGGGAACTGAGGAAAGAAAGCTGCGAGAGTCTCGAGAACCTCTCGGTTCGTGGTGAGATAGGCGATTCTTTGGATGCTGGGTCTTCCTGGAAGGGATGACTTGAGTGATGCTGTGGTTCAAACTCGGTCACTGTTGGTAGATGGCACGCCGAGAGGGGTGAAGATGGGGATACGGGGGAGAGCGGTTGTTGTTGGCGCCTTAGATGTCGGAACTCTGGAGGTCCCTCTGGCGGATTCAAGCGCACAGGCGACTTCAAAGGCGAAGGAGGGGACCCCCTAGTAGTAGCCGTCTCTTGAGACATGGCAGATTTCCTTGCATCATGCTCCATCACAGCAGCGTAGAGTCTTTCCATCTCTTCTTGCGCTTTCACCCGGTCGGCCTGGACAACGCTTTCGTCAACTGTTGAGACGCTTCCAGCTATCGACGCTGCCGATTGTGCTCGATTTGAAGAAGACCATGGCATATTGAAGGATCGAGCTTTGTTTTTGGGCGGACTCGGCCAGGCATTATTACTCTGGGTCCTGGTGCTCATTGGGCTCGGCCACAGATTGTTGGTAGAGTACTCCACCGGAGCTGGCGAGTCTTCCATCATTCCACCAGACGGTTTGACGAGATCCATCTCCAGCGTTCCGTTAGACTCTTCTGCACCACGACGGAGTCGTCTGCCAACTGTCAATAGGCAGCCTAGTAAGAGAGACACGACGGCGATGTAAGCGGCGACTATGGCAACAATCTCCCTCCAAAGCAACGCAGTATCTCTTGTAGCAGACGCAGATATTGGCGGTCCTTCGTCTGGGGGCGGCGCAGGGTCAATCCAGATGCTGGCGCCCCAAATAGAAGCAGCTCTGATGGGAATGGGCTGCAGGCAGATGATTAAGGAGAGACCGCAGGCTGTCAACGTCGACATATAAGCAGGACACCGAGTACCCAACATCCTGCGGCGGGAATCTTGGGCATAACTAGTAGGTATCTCTCTGCCCTCTCACCCTTTTTCTTCTTTTACTCTGAAGACACTTCCCTTATTTTCGAGATATTTGAACCTGCTGTGGGCGGGGTGATCGGCAATGCTGCGATACAAGAGGCGCCCATCGCAGCGAAGAAGAAGAGAGAGCAGGGCCCTCGTCCGTCCTGTGTGGAGCAGGGCAAGTGTGATGATAAAGCCCGAGAGGCGCCTCCAGCTCTGCCAGTTGGATGCATCGATCATGCAGGCCGCTGGGATTGACCGTGACGAAGTGCCAGGATTGCGCCCAATGGGATCGATGCATCGCCATTCTTCGCAGGGACGGGATCTCTCTTCAACGGGCCTGGTTGGCCGGGCCCCGTTTAGCCATGCAAGCTGCAGGGCCAGCAGCCACCCGTCACACTGAGATAGCGCCCATCACATTTTCGGTTTCTTCATGCACTTTCGTGCAAGGCCGGCAGCAAATCACAATCCAGCGTTTACGGAGTTGTCGTGCCTCTTCCTTGTGGTGCCTGTAAAGTTGACGGCTGGTAAGGCCACGGTTTGGATGTCCTCGAAGCGAGATGATTGATGGATGACCGAAAGGAAACGCCTGGAGGCTTCATCCTTGCTCCTTTCGTACTCTATGTACGGAGTATTCTCTGTATATTTTCTCTGTGATCCGAGTGTGAAGTCGATATTTACCGATGCTGTCGTTGAAGTTGATCTCGCCGTCGCTTGTTTTGGTTTTAGTTGCCAAGTTGGCTCTATTTTCTTTTGCTTCTGATGACTCGCCTTTGCCTGACGGAGCCGTGGAAAGGCAGCATTACACAGACACTGGTCATGTCTCGCAGTGTTAAGCACTATTGATATCCCCCTGATCAAATGGCTAAAAGGGAACTGGAGAAGCGGTGCTCCCTGTGACCACTTATCAAAACAGCTGTTAAGCATAAACCAGGAAAAGTCCCCCGCCATATCAGCTTGACTCTGGTAGCTCAATGTTACAGTTCATGGTAGAACTATACTACCTCGAACCATGGATGGAGGCGAGTTTAAGTGACTGTGACGTTGTTTTGTCGAGGTTGCGACTTCCAGGCGGGAGCGAGGGCGAAATTTGATATCTCGCCGTGCCGAAGTAGCAAACAAACTACACGGCATGACGCAGACAGAGCCAGGGCTGCTGAAAGACTCCGTTAATCTCTCGCGGCAGCACTCTTAGCCAGGGAAAAAGAGCCAGGAGAAGTCGAAAAGAGTCGAAATAGTCCTCTATGGGCAACAAAATATCCGCTGTTAGTGGTGTCAAGTCGCCCAACTTCTACGAGCCGGGCAACGCTGTCAACGAGATCTGGGTCGGCAACCTCGAGATAATCTCCCGGCTCCCCTTTGGAGACTCAGACATGGCCCAGGCAGGCTGGCCGAAAAACGACTACCCCAAATTCCCGTGGCGGCCGTTTGTTATACCTCTCTTTGCCATGTTCACCAACGGCGCTGTCGGCGCAGAGACCGCGGCAGGCGCTGCAGCGCCTTCACACCTATCCCGACGCTCTACACCACAAGAGCCGATGACAAAAACGGCGGCGGCGGAGATGACCATGCTTTCTAGTTCTATTGTCTCGGGCACTATCACTGTGTATGCCGTGGTTACGATCCTACTGGCTTGCGCCCCCAAGATCTTCGACCTTCTCGACACTGTTTACTTCAAATGTCGGCGCAGTGCCAGAGATTCGCTGGAAACGAGCGCTGAATGCCTACACCAGCTCTGTCTTCTGGGAATATACAGCAAGCCTTATCTTATATTCAGCTACATGTTCCATGCGGGCATATTCTCACCTGGGAAACCACATACCATGAATATGCTCTTTGCACCGGCTGAAACCCTTTCCTACCTAGTCGTGATCCAGCTGTTGAGTACGATATTCGCAGCCGTGACATGCTATAGCAACATTTATCAATACTGTAGAGAGTCCCGTCCTAAACAGGCCGACGAGATGGCACTCTGGCAGGAAAAGAGCTTGGAGATAGAAGGGAGTCTAGAGGATGGAAGGGAGAAGTCTCGCCCGGAAGCATTTGGGCCCTGGGTTTTTATAGTCAACCTCTGTGCCTTTTTTGAAGCCATAACCACAGTGCTGCTTCTTATTAATTTGTCCAGGATCGATTAGTTGTCCGTATCTTGGAGATGGTGACCTGAATATACAAGAAGCTACCCAGCCTTTGTCTGAAGGGGCACAGACACTGTCGAATGATTGAGGATCATACCCTTAGGAATAATATCTCTATTATCAGTTGTTCAATTCCATAGGTCCCGCCACATTTGCTTGAATCCGTAACCCTTTGAACTGTCCTCATCGTAAATACGAGATTCATGGGCAGATGCAGAAAACGAAGAAAAGCCTCCTAATCCGGTTTGATGACTAGCGGAAGACCCCGGCTTCGCTGATCCTCTGGTTGCTCGCTCTCTTATCTCATCGGGAAGACTGATGGCGACATCAGCGTAACAAGAATCCAGCTCTCGCTGTAGGTTGAGATATGGCCTTTGAGAGACCTGAGGAGCCTGTAGGTTATAGGATCTTATAGATTCATTGAGCCGCTTTATTTTCAATTCGTGGTATTCCCGCTCCGTCGACATGTATTGCGGATCTCGCAAGCAAGGGAGGTCTTCCAGAATTTCGGAAGTCCCAGATGAAGCTGTATTGGCATCATCAACAGGTCCAGCCGGCTGTACACGAGCCTGTAATAACTTATTATGCTTGGATTCTGCAGCAGCATAGCTGCGTGCCCGTCTAATTTGCTCATCTAACGTTCCACCTTTGCTTCGGATCATTAGTACAGCATGGTTTCTCCAGTTCTCTCTTAGCTGGTTTCGAAATTGCTTGACTTCTGACTGCATTGAATGTTGTTTTTGTATCCATTCAGGCGTAGTCTCTTGTTTTTGTAAGATTCGATTCATCGCGAATTCAGTGGTATCGATGTATGGGCTATCAGCAGTGGGATCTCGTTTGGTATTTTTCCCCTTTCCACGAGGGATATTATTAAACTGGCCGCGCGCCATTGCATCTTCTATCCGTTCGTTTGCCAAAGAGCTAAGGCCCTGAATGCTTACGGGGAAAGAATGTACAGCGGGACCGAAACGATCTTGTAGTTCCTTGCGGAATGATTCTCGTTCTTCTTTGGAGATACTTGAATCCTGCTTTAATGTGTATTCCGTTGTCCGCTCGCGGGCAGCCGCTAACCTCTCGCCAGATGACACGCTCCGTTTAGGCTTGGGAGCCGTGGGCACCGGCCCTCCCGGCTGCGGAGGCCGAAAGGGTACACGCATAGGTTTGCTCGCATCGGTCAGCATGCGAAGTGTAGCATCATGGATGCTCTCGTTGCCTGTCCACGGAGGAGCACCGGCTATATCCCGCGTTCCTTTCCCTGCACTTTGCTATAAACGTAAAATCCAATCAGCTTCAGAGCAAGCATTCCAGGAAGACAAAAGAATAAACTGCTTACCGGCAGGTTCGCATAAGAAATTGCAGCTGCATTTTCGTTTTTGAAAGCAGTCTCGGCGATTCTTTCTTGGAGTCTTTGCTTCAGCTCCTCTGAGAACCCGGTCTCTTGCTGGATGTTCTTCCGCGTGGAACTGCCACCCTGCGTTATGGCTTCTTCGGTCATCTCGGCCAGTCTCCTCGACATGGCACCATCGCTATCACTTTCAAGCTCCTTATTCGCTCCATCCTGCGGGTGTGGCTTTTGGTCATAGAGCCTTTGATGGTATGAGAACGGCCGCGCAGTGGGAGACAGTAGCAATGAGGTCGAAGTACCCCAACCAGGCAAGGAGCTCTGTATTTTCCGTCCAGCGACCCTATAGCAGTTCATCTCTCCTCAAGACAATCCATCACTAACAACCGAACCTGATCTACTTCGTTTCTCGTCAAGCTATCATTGTCGTCCCGTTGTCTTCCAAAGTCTCCAGCGACTCTGACTAGCTTAGTAATCATATCTCTGGCTTAGCTAAAAATAAAAGTTCTTGGCATCAAAGAGGCAGTTGGAGAAAAGAACGAAAAAGTGATTTCGATGCAATTCGACCACTATTAACAAAAGAACCAGGCGAAGCAGCCCGCAGATCGAGCAGACCGTGAGTGCAATAGGCACGTTTACCGGGAAATTCCCGTCCTATATTTTCCGTTCACGCACACCGTCACCATGCCTCCCAAGTCAGCGGCAACTGCAGGGACAATCCGACTCCAGTCCCTACCACGATTGAAGATCAAGAGTCCCATGAAATATGACCAGAACCCATGCCTTGCTGCTATGACTGCTGTCCTCAGTAAGTTCCTTCCATTGATCAATTGGTGGTTCAAGAAGTACCTGGGGTTGTGGAAATGCAAGAACAGTAGCTAACATCAGTTTCATCATTTTAGACTGCTGGGGAGCTACGGGATATAGTGTCCAAGGATGCTTAGCACTGGAACAGCAATTACGATTATGCACAGACTCACATGTATGTTTTTTTCCCGGCCTGATAATATGGAAAGAGATAAACCGTGTTCTCTATCAAATTGAAACCGGTTGCTAACCATTCCGCTTCTTCTATACAGCCTACGAAAGTCAAAAGAAAGAATACCGTCAACTACCATCTTGCTCGAATGTTCCGCATGATCTCACCCCGAAGGAAGGAGAAATAAACTGTTTCCCTCATTTGTTGCATTGGTTATTTTGCTCGCATTGCGCAATCCGCTCTTTGGTACACACGCATTACCGGAGACACCACGCCAGCCTTTCCACCTATGTATACGGTTGACAGATGTACGATTGACCGGATGAAAGTTTCTTGGGAGGTACAAAACCAACCTTTGCGTTGGTATGGAGTTTGGGGCTTAACAATGGAATTGTGTTAGTATTTTTTTCCCCTTCCAAGAAACGATGTATTTATTACCGCTGTATAATAGACCTATATGGAAGCTTTTTATCATGAATACCGGATTTGTCTTCTTGGAGTGGTTATTAACGCTTACGATGTAACCAAATTGAGGGTGAAAGACACTAGATCTACTATACGCTCTTTAAACTATCTCCTCGTGCCCGGCCAAAGATAAGGGTTAGTTTGTTTCCCGTTGGACGAGTGGTATATGCATCAATTGGCTCCATACCCTCGTCCTCCACAATACGAGTTGTGTAGTTTGTATAGAGTGCAGCAACGACCAATTTGATTTCTACAGTCAGGTCAGGTTAGCAAAGCCTCATCGCTCATGGTGATGAAATGCAGGATAACTATACCTTGTAAGGCAAAATGGCTTCCAATACACATCCGGCCTCCGCTACCGAAGGCCCAGAACCAACGTTTCATTTCATCTAGTTGTGGAGAGCCAGCAGGGGCAAGCCACCTATCTGGCAGCCAGCTATCGGCATTTGGAAAGACGTCTTCGTTTTTGTGAAGAGAGTATGCCTGAGCATTAACTCGCGTGTTCGGCGGTAAATTATGGTATCCAGCCAAAGAAGCGTCTGCAGGAGTCAATCGGGGCTGAATTCCTGGGATGGGTGGATGGAGTCGCAAAGTCTCCATGACGATTGCGTCCAGAAGGGGCAGAGCATCAATTGACTTGTGAGAGGACAGTTTTGAGCTACCACTGTGACTCAAAGGAATAACGTTGGGATCGAGGGTTTTCAGCTCCCTTCTTAGCTTCTCCTGGATATCCGGGTTTTTCGAAAGCTCCCAGAACAGATATGTAAGGGTTATAGCACTAGTTTCGTGTCCTGCGGTTAGATGGTCGAATGTCTCACAGGCAACTTCAAGCCGTATCTTCTGAGCGACATCCTTAGCCTCGAGTCGAGGGTCAAGATTGGCAGCAAAGTGTCTTTGAAGCGCTTGTTTCAGCTGTCTATATACAACTGGTTCGGCAATGGGATCTGACGAAGAGATGTTTTCTTCTGCCTTGTCGCAAGTATCTAGCCCCCATTTTTCCATGAATGCATTTGCGTCATCACACCATTTAGGGATCAGGGGAAATCCCAGCTTATGAGACCAGGAAAGTAGCTCCGGGGTTTCTTGGATGTAAAATTCAAACTCTTTGCGACTGTGATATATAGAGAACCATTCCTTCCTTAGTGATGGGTTTTGTATAAAATTCGACGCAGCCGGCAAGCCAAAGATATATGCAGTAATGAAGTCCAAAGCTATGGCATTGTTCAGTTCGTGGACCTCAACAGAGGACTCTGAGTTGGCATATTCCTCGAGGACTGGGAATAGTCGATCGAAGAGGATAGCTTCGGTGACTGCCTTGAGCTGGGGCGATGCCTGCAGGTAGGACTTGGAGTATATATTTGCAAGCATCCGCTTTCTGACCGAGTGCTCCTTGCTCCCGACCATCGAAAACATACTAATAGTTCTATAGATGACCGCTTAGTGCTGGGTAAATAAAGAGCATATATATAGAGTCACCCTTGACTGGTACTCACCCGAAAGATCCAAAGAGCCGCGGATACCATTCATGCTTCTCATATCCACCCGTGTACACCGTTCGAAGTCCACCTTCATAGCAGTTTATGGATACTTCTGACGGCCCCAGGCGGACAATGGGTCCATGCTTCATATGAGCGGCATGGATCGTCCTGTTGCCGGCCATTCGAAATCTCCGCCACAGGATCCATAGGGGGGAGAGCGGGGAGGTAAAGTGTGCATTTGGGATCTTGGCCAGAGGTGAAAGGAAGGCCGGGTATATGATGAACTTGTAGACTCCTAGCGCCAGCAGCAGCGCCGCAGCTGTTGCTTGGAACAGTCCGGAAGAGAGGATGGCCATGGTATCTGTGTCTGCTCCTGCTTTGGGAGTGTAGATGCCCTCATGTCCGCAGGGAAGAGAAGAAGGCGCCCGTCCTAATCACTATATATGGAACAAAGGACGCAGCGAGCTATCTTACCCAGCGCAACTCCATGCAAGCTCGTCAGTTAGTTAGCTGGAAGGGCCCAGGGAGCAGCGTCGTATAGTGTGGGTAATATGGTTGGCGTGATAACCTGGGGGTTAATCTGGGGCCGCCACATAGTCCGCTAGTTAGTTAACTCGTTAACTCTGCCGTTGAGCCTAATATTTTATTATTCAAGTGTTAAACTGCGGCATCGTTCTTCTCTTCATCTTTCTCAGCCATCTCGTCTTATCCCAGGTGTAGACTGTTCCTCGCGGTCTCGCTCATCCAAAAATACCCCCTTTTTTCTTGTTGCAAGTCGCATCTGCGCGCCCTGCCCTTGATTCCTCCACTTGCTCGATAACTTGTTAAACCCTGGTCCGCTAACTAGCCCGGGAAGCTGGAAACGGCTATTTAACTGGTTCTTTCATGGTACCTCTACTCCTACCTGCATGGCCCGTACCTTGTCTCGGGTTCCTTTTTGACAGTTGGACATTCGATGGATATCCCTATGCCGGAGTCTGTCTTTGCCAAACCTGATATCAACGGTGCTTGCTTGCCGAAGAGAAAATCCAACTTTTATACCATCCCAACCACTGTTGATTAGCGTGATGCACTCTCATGCATGCCTAGCTAGCCATACCAGAGCTCTTGGAAGCAGCTAGCATACTGTTGCGCTCCTGTTTGTCAATATCATGTCAAGCCCCTGTACGCTATGGGAACTGTTTCGTTAACTACCCCGAGTGACCTGCGAAGTCCACAGCGTGGTGGCCATTTGGACTAGGGACAAGACAGAAGCGTGCACTGCTGAAAGGCCCTGAATGCTTGACTTAGGGATGCAGGACCTGGAACAAGGACAGGGCTTATCCAGGCTTCGACGAAGACCTGGTCAAATCAAGACATGCTCTATGTTAAGCCCTTGTTTGATAGAAACATTTGTTAACTCTTAACGCTTGTAGTCAATTAACTACGGGTCAAATGTTATGGAATACTGGACCAGGCCTGCACTATGAATATCTGATATCCCAGGCTCTTTTTATAGAGAGTTCAATATCTTCACGCCAGGAGGTTACTTCACTACAGAGGTGCCTAGTTAATTATTTAGTTAGTCACCCTGGTGATGTCACATCCAAGTCCTATAGTCAACTGGCGTATATAAATCGATGGCCTTTCCTATCATTTCCTCTTCTCCTCCACTCTCGATTCCCCTCGCTGGTGTATCTGCTAGGTGATCGCAATATTATTCCGCTGAGAATATAATGATTATAATATATAGCCTTAGGGAAATCACGGACGCGACAGCGACGGGATACGAGAGATCGGGTACAAAGCCAAAGCAGCTTTGGTGAGTTTGCTCATTCCGGCTATGAGAAAGTATTCCTGTAGTTATATGGCCGGCCGCTAACGAGACTGAAGACGATATGTCATTATAAAATCCGGAGAGCCAGTCAGATTCGCATACATTATCCCCCCCTTGTGCCATGCGAGGTCTGCAAACTGCAGAAACGAGATCTCAGCCTTTCAGATCCCAACCTCTAGGGCTGAGGCCCAGTGGAGCGAGTCCGATGGCTCAGCGCCATCCAAGCTACCACCGAGATTCCAAAGAACCTTTTCTGCCTAGCACCTCACGCCCATGCCTACCAGGGCAAGGCTTACTTTTCTCTTAAACATCTCGAAACCAGCGAGGACCATACCAGCTCTACTGTTATGCTTATCCTACCTTTGGTAACTTGCGGCCGCTTCGAGTATGCACAAAGGATTCCGCCGCGATATCTCCGGTTAATTTGCACATTTCAGTGGTCGAACTTCGAGATTGGTAGCACTATTGACGTTAAACAACATTTGCAAGCCAAGATTGCTACTATATAAAGGGAGAGCTTGCCGAACGCCAATTTGATACCTTGAAGATGGAACTGGTGAGTTTGTGAGTCTAGTTATGGGATGTGACTACTGGCCTCCCATCCCGGCTGGTGTTCAAATTGTCCTGGAAGGATTGCAGCTTGCTGTCGCGATGTCTGGCAGTGCAGAACCCCAGGATGATGCCTACGAAGCAGACGACAACGACAACGAAGTAGACGACGAGTGCGGCCTGGGCTTATGATGATTCTTTGGGCCTTGCTGCCATGTGTAGCCAGCTCTGCAAGCATGATAGTTAGTTAACAAAGAGGTTATAAGCAGTTCGAGCTCTCCTGCAAGTTACGTGCAAAATACACTCCGTAGAGGTCAGATACGTGCTCCTTGTGAAAAAATCGCGCCCTGCATCAAATCCTCCATCCTTCCTGTTATTACTGTTATTACGGTGTAGTTGACCAGTTAGGAGCTGGTTAGTTAGTTAGCGCAGACGACTTGCTGTAAAAATCTAGTTATGACTCCGAAACATCCACTTTGACAACACCAACAAGAGTCACAGCACAGGTTGTCCAGCATAACAAAGAAGAAGAACAGAACCAAGTCCCTATCTGATGCTACTACGTCTCCCACCCGAGCTCATCTACTCTATCGCTGCCTTTCTCCCAACCGCAAGCTGCCTGCTGCGCCTGGCGCAAACCTGCCGTCGCCTCTACACCATAGTCGCCGCAGACAACTATCGCATCTTCCAGGCCTTCGTCCAGGGCCAGTATCCCACTGCCGTCGCCCCGCCGCTCTGGAGAGATGCAGCTCACGCACTCACTCTGCGTTCTCACGCCTTTCGCTGTCGTGCAGTGACCGCTCGGTATGTCGAGCCGCCGTCCAATGCAGCTAGGATCGGGAAGCCCAAGACGACCCGAAGGGATAAACCGACCCTGGGATATCGGCCGGTGATTGATAGCTATGAATCATGGTATGGTAACCACTGGTTTGCGAGAAAAGAGGTGTTGGCATGGGGTGCTGGAGCAGACGTGGTGCTTCGTATCAAGGACCTGAACGGTCACGATCGTGCTGGAGAAGCCAGTGGCTGTCAACAAGACACTTATGACGGCGCTAAATGGGTTGTATTCAACGATTTACCCAGCGTGAATAGCTGGGATGATGTGGCTGGCCTGCACCTGCTTGGTGATGATAGCTCATCCGCTGACTCTCTTGACGCCGAGGATCTCATCGTTGGCCGTCGAAACGGCGAGCTCACTCGCCTTTCGATTTCGCCTAGTCAGGGCTCTGCTACCCACAGAGCATTCTTTGATACCCAACGCCACAAGCTAGACTATACAGACCTCAGTGTCGGAACTGAGAGGGTCCTGGCTGCGTCTCTAGACCGAGGCGAGATAGCATTTTACAAGCTTGACTCAGATACTTATAGCGTCCAACCCTTCGTCAGCTTGAAAGCTCATTTACATGGCGCTTCAAGGAATAGATGCTCAAAGCTTCTCTCAAATCGCAAAATTGTCGTTGGGGCAGACGGGGAGTCTTCTAAGATTGAGGTCTTCAGCTTCAATGAGACAGACGTGAAAACAGAATGCACTATTCGAATTGAAGATGATGAGGCAGAAAGAAAGCCACGAGTTACTGCGATGGCACCGTTACCGGCGTTAAGCTCTATGAAAGAAACGAGCTCTCAGGACCTTTTTCTGTCGGGCTGGGAAGATAGTAAAATAAGGTAATTAAATCCTCTTGGCGGTTTTTATTATTACTATTTCTGTATAGCTAATGGCTGTTGTAGGCTTCATGATCTACGATCTCCACGGCCGTGTGTTGCAGTTTATGGTGATACGGTAGACGACAGCCCAGTATATTCCCTTCTTCCAATCGGCCATGAACGGTTGATGGTTGGTAGTGGTGCACATGGCCTTCTCAAGTTATTTGACCTAAGAGTTACTGGGCGGCACCATCTAGATTCAAACAACATATCTCCGTCAATACCCAAGTCGAATCACCGACGAAGGAGCTCTAATTCAATTGTGCGCGGCCTTCAGCTGAATCTGCCTCCAGGCCCTCCCAAGGACATATCGATATTCCTTAGTGACAGGCAATCAGAAAATCGCAATAACACTAGGTTGCAACGAACCCTTAAACCCCGGTACCGAGGCCCGGTATACACCATGTCTCTCCCATCACCTACATCGTCAACGTTATACGTTGGCCTGGTGAACACTGTAATGAGGTTGGACATGGTCGGGACAGACGATCTATGCGCATCTGGCGATAACAAGAGCGGATTGAATTGGTCTTCGTTAAATCTCAGTTTGCGACTAGATGCTAAGGCTTCTCCTGGACACCAACCGGCTGACCTCTCTTGCTACGAACGTCCGTTTCCTGAGGATAACGGGAGAGGTATTCGGCTCTTCGTTCAAAAACCATTCTGGAGCTCGTCAATTGTTACGCATCATGATGATAACATTCCTGGTTGGGATCAACGGTGGTTCCAACCTTCAGTCAATAGAAACATCAAACCAGAGGAAAGATGGAGATGATAAGTATATATTGTGGGCATAGAAAAGACGGGGAAAAAGAGGATACTAAAATTTTTATAGATGTTTGATCTTGGTTAAAAAGTTATGTATGGGATTATAAAAGGGCCTTCTTCCGTCATTGAAATTACTGAATTATTCATATAACTTTTTTGATTCTTTTTGCCTTAGTGTTGCTTATTTGAGTTGAAGTACACTCGCGGACGAGGCTTCGTTCGACAATTCTAGCCAGCTACATGGCATGTATGAACTTGAAAAATAACAGCCCAGAAATTATGGACCCTGAACGCAACAACGCCTTGCTACATAGACTCCAAACATACGAGAGGGAAAAGAGGTGGGTAAAGTAAGCCTCCTGGGTTAAAGGGATACACAGGCTGAGATCCGGTTTTGGTCAGTCTTCAAACTTGAAGCTTTTGCCTGGGCCGATGTCAATTGGTCCACCACGATAAGAGCCACGCTTCTTCTTGTTCTTCTCTTTGGTAAATCCTTTGCCGCGGGTGACTGACAGATCACGGTGAGCACGCTCAGCATATGCATATGGAACGTATGCGTTAGATGGGTGGTTGTGAGGCAATTCGCTGGCGGCAGCCAAGGGGGTTGGCCTGGCTCCTACGTGTTTGCGAACTGTTTTGGGAGCGGGCTTTGGCTTGAAGTCAGAATCACTTTGACCGGATGTTGCTGCCAGAGTAGCACTGCTGTCTGAAGAATTCTTTCCGTCATCGGCCGCAGAAGATTCGGCAATGTTATCATCATCATCACTGTCTGACGAGTCAGAGTCGGAGTCGGAAGAGGAGCTGTCGTTATCTGATTCAGGGAGCGGAGTTTTGATAGCCTTCTTTAGGGTTGATGCTTCTTTCTTCGTTGCCGCATTGGAAATAGAGTCTGAATCGGAGTCTGAATCGGTGTCAGACGAGTCGGAGGAGTCTGAGTCTGAATCCGCATCCGAACTTGAATCAGAGCCCGAATCTGCCTTCTTGTCACTCGTTTCTTCGCTATCAGAGTCCGAGTCTGAGTCCGAGTCGGAGCTAGAATCTTCGGAGGAGTCAGAATCAGGTTCTGCTGATTTCTTTGCAACTAGCTCCAGCTTTGCTTTCTTCGCGCTGGGAGCGCCGTCTGAGTCGGAATCCGATTCAGAGTCGGAGTCGGAGTCAGAATCAGAGGAGGATGAGTCTGATTCCAGTTTGCGTTTGAGAGATTGATTCTCTCTGACTGTCGGAGCCGGTTTGGAGGCTTCTCCTTTTCCATCATCGTCGCTGCTGTCGTCGTCGGAGCTGTCCTCGCTCTCGGACGAGCTGCTGCCCGCGTCCTCCATTGAGACATCCGAGCTCGCGTCACTTGAATCTGAGTCCGAGTTCTCATCGCCATTGAAATCGGCGTCTTTTCCGGCATTCTGAGCCTCCCAAAGCTCATAAATGACATTTAGCGAAGGGATCCCCTCCGTGCTCGTGTGAGATTGTCGCATGGCTTTTGCGGCCTGTGCGTTTCCTTTCTGCTCTTCGAGAAAAGCAGCTTTCGTTTTAACGTATCCATGGTCTCCTAAAAACTGCGTAATGGACGCAAGAAGCGCTGGCGAGGCAGAAGCGACCTTTGTCTACGATTTATCAAACAGTTAGCTAACTGGACAGCAGGTGATATCAGATTGAACACAGCTATACCTCTGGCTTCAGGGCCTCAGCAGGGCTCTTCTGGCCCTTTCCGGCCTTTGACTTCTTCTCAGGAGCCATCGTCTAGAGTGTAGCTGACAATTCCTCGCGACGAGAATGAAAAGAGGAAAGGAAATGAATCGCGTCTTCAACGTTGAATTAACAAAAATCGAAAATTCGTGAAAAAAAAAAAAAAAAAGTAAGGAAAAAAAGAAAACTTTCGCGGGAAGAAAGTTTAAAGGCACGAACGCCGCGCTAGTCCTAAAATGGACATGACATGGATCGTGTGTTTTTGGCGGCTTTTCTGATCATCGAGAGCAAAGAGGACAAGGGGAGGCCAATAGCGAGAACAGCGGACGGTCATCAGTTATAGAAAGGGAAAAAAGAGATTTGACCATCACCTTTTATCCTTGATATTTTCAGCTTTGGACTATGATTCAGTGGCTTCATGAAAAAGGCAGTGGATGATGGTATGATGTACTGTAAACTTGCGGCTACTTTATTCTATTGGCTACAGTCCACAGTTATCTATCCGTTGATTGGTTGATTAAATAAGCTTAACCAATTGAATGCGCTAAATCTGCGGTTGTAACAGTACCATACGGCGATGCGACTTCGCCTGAAGCAACAGCAAAGACGAAGCAGCAAGACGAAACAAACTCGACCATCGCAATCCAGAAACCACACGGCAGAGAGCTTGACGGCCTGGTAGCTGGTATCAGGCGGTGCGGCCACATACGACCTTCCCAGACGCAAACACCTTCCCCTTCTCCGGCGACATGAGCTCCCGCGACCGCTCTCGAGGGCGTCCGGCTGGTGCATCACCTCGCCAGGAGCGCCGCGGCGGCGGAGAGATGCGTAACGGCTCAGGACCAATGCACCCATCATCTGGATCTTCGAGGGCAGAAAGATTTGAGGATGAGAAGCGAAGGATAATAAACAGTTGTTTCTCCAAGAAGGATGCTGATGGGTCGAGTAAGCATATCTTGTCTCCAGACCACCGAGGCGGGCTAGCTATACAAACAGCAGCGTGATAAGAGCCGCGCAAGAAGCCAGGGACCGTTTTGCGTCCAAAACGAAAAAAAAAAAAAAATAAAAACGCTCTTGCAAGTGATATATTTTGAATGAACAGATTGCTAACAGTCGGCCAGCACTTGAGTCGTACATCACCCATATCCGTATCACGGAAGATGCAGCCTATCCATCGGCTCCGCCTCCAACCACCTCCCCACCGGAGAACAAGAAGCCGAGAGCAATTATTGTGTCTGTACGGAAGTCTGGCCGAGTGCGAATGCACAAGTCAAGAGAGAACAGCGACGGCTCGTTCTCGATAGGGAAGACGTGGACGCTGGACGATCTATCTCGCATCCAGATATACGACCACTTGACCCCATCAAGTCAGATCGAACAGCAACAAAAGTCATGGGCTGCAGACCTGGGATTCATTGTCACGATCACTAAGCCATATTATTGGACTGCGGCAACTTCCAAGGAGCGGGACTTCTTTATCGGCAGTCTCGTAAAGATATACAAGAAATATACTGGTGGGAGAGTTCCGGAGCTGGTTGGGCTGGACCCGAATGAGAAAGAAGCGCTGGTTGGGAGCTTGCCGTTGGTTTCCAAACCTCCTCCGCAGTCACAATCACAATCACAGGCTTCCCCTCAGTCCCAACCTCCAAGCAGGGGACAGGACCCAAGGTTGATGCATGGAATGAATCCCCGTTCGCAGTCTCCATCTACAGGGCCAAACCGGTCCCAATCCCCCTATTCCAATCTACCTCCTAGCCGTGATGGTCCTCCAGATATGCGGAAACAGCCGTCTAGAGAACAGTTTCTACAAAACAAACCTAGCCAGGACCAGATGCCACGCGCTCCGCCCCCAACAACTTTACTGCCACGGATACCGGGTGATGGTAGTAATAACAATGCTGCTAGTAACCTACCACCAAAACCTCCACTGCAAACACCACCGGTAGAGCCTCCGTCAAGGCAGCTTGGAGATGCACCTTCAACTGAGAATCTTGTACCATCCCCGGTTACTTCTGAGCATCAAATTTTGCCCAATAGGACGTATAAACCAATGCCATTATCTCCTGTATCTGACGGTGGCTTGCTACCTAATAAGGTGTATACCCCCATGCCAGCGCCAGCTCCATCACCCAAATCAGAGGACAGGCCACAGCCATACGGCCAAGGCAAACAACATCAGTCTAGCCTAGACAGTGGCGATATATCACCTTTCAGCAAACCTGTGCAAACACGGCCATCGACCAGTGAATCTTCGTTGCCAGCTTCGTTGCGGCCAGCGTTTGACAGGTCCCCTAGCTATGATCAGAAGAGCATAAGGAGCGTCAAGAGCAATGACGGCGAGGAGGATAGGTATAAAGCAGTGCCTCCTCCTCGGGAATCCCCCAAGGTTGAGCTTCCTCCGGCAGTCAAGGATGTACCACAACCTGAGCCACCGAAAATAAGACCACCTGCAATCAACGGCGATTTTGCCGCCGATATGGAGAAGGCACTGGCAGGCCGCGCTACCCCTGAGCCTCCAAGTGAACCACTGATGAAGACCGAGTCTTCTCCGGAGCAACCAAAGCCTCCAGTGATAAACATTCCACCAGCAGCTGCAAGCAGCGCATCTCTCCCCGAGCCCGGGCCTGAACCAGAGCCCGAAGTCGAGACTCACCGACGGGGACTGGGTCCTATGATGAAGAGCAAGGGTGGTGCAAAGGACGTGGCTAATGTTCTGCGCAAGGCTGCGAATGCATACAACGCCTTCAAGCCCAGAGCTGGCGGGGCGGCTGAGCGTCTACGGGCAGCTAGAGAGAAAGAGAAGTCAGAGGGACCAGATGGAATTACAGGCGTTGTCCCGGCGCCGTTGCAGAGAGGAATCAACGCAGAGACAACAACAGCAGCAGCAGCAGCAACCAAGCCTCCCACTACTGAGCCACCCAAGGTGCAGGTCACGGATTCCAGTACCGGCAAGGAAGTCTCGTTTGATAGGTCTACAACTTCGGCAGACTCCTCCTCTCTGAAGAGAAAGGAGACGAAGCCTGTTAAAGCACCGCGAGAAGACAATACCAAGAAGTGCTGCAGCGCACTTGGGATCGACCCGGCCGTGCTTGGTGGCCGTGGCGTGGAGTTTGACTGGCTGTTAACTGACCTTGGATGGGACGGTAGGTTGGGGAAAGACAAGGGAATCGAGGCGCTGGAGGCCGAAATACGGCGGGAGATAGGACGAGTGCAGGCCAGCAGCTGGCTGAGCCAACTGCAGTCCTCGCATGACGGACGAGTGGACCAGCTGGCCAAGCTGTTTGACCGTGCAATGGAAGAGTGCGATGAGCTGGACGGCCTACTCACCTTGTACTCCCACGAACTCGACGTAAGTCTTTCCCCCATCTCTGTGATGAGATGATTTCAATATGCTACTTTCTTTTACTGACCCTGCCCGGCTAGACACTCTCGGAGGACGTCAACTACATCGAGTCCCAAGGCCAGGGACTGCAAACCCGCCTCGCCAACCAGCGGCTGCTGCAATCCGAGATCCAGTCCCGACTCAAGTCCAACGGCAGCTCCCACTGAAACACCAGCCGCGGCACCGCATCCTTCACTCGACGGTCTGGCTGGCGGTGTCAACAAACCTGCCGTGCTACCGTGACCCCTTTCTCCCGCCGTGAGACGAGGACAGAAGGGGAAGCTCATCCGTCGCACAGAAAATCCCCTTTACTCTATCTGCCTTTGCTCGCTGTGATGTGATCTCATGGGCCGGATAAAAGACACCTTTGCTTTCCGTCTATCTTTCTCTCTTCTTCTATCTTGCTAACGAAGTATCTACCCGGGGCTATCTATTATTATTCAGAGGGGGGGGGGGGGGAGGGAGGCGCAAAATGATACCCTTTCTTCCTTTTGCATCTTGACTGCCATCTCTATTCTTCTTACTCTCCCTTGTTTTTTTTTTTTTCTTTTGACTGTCCTTGGCATGATGAGAACTTCCCTGTATATAGCATCTATGAAGTAATAATAGATATCGCTGTCTCGAGATCGATCGAGATGCTCGATGCTGGCTGTCCATCCCTTCATCCCCCCTTAAGACGGCGGCATCACTGCAGCCCCCGTACCACCACCACTACTACCGCCGTCTTCTCTCCCTGTCTGTCTGGCCCTCTGGTCTTCGCTCTTCGAACGTCTCTCGTATCCTCCTTCTGCAGGCTCCCCCGGGATCGGAATTCAGGGGTTCAATCGCATCGCTGCCTGTCCCGGCTTGTGGGGGTCGTTCGTCGGCAGTCCTCGTTGCCTGCAGTTCGGCCGCGATCCCAGCAAGCCGCCATCTTCTTCTTCTTCTTTTTCTTCTTCATCATCATCTTCTTCTCTGTCTTCCTTTCCTCCCAGCATCCCCTTGTCTTCCTCTAACTAGGCTTGTCACTAATAATAAATAACTAGCACTTTTGGTACCTTTTTTTTCGACCCCGTAGTTAAGTCAACTATAAAAAGAAACGAGAAAAAGACCAAAAAAAAAAAAAAAAAAGCCTACAACAAAAACCACGAACGACCAACGACGAGAGACACGGCAGAGACGAGAGAGAGAGAGAGGAAGAAGAAAGGAAAAACAAACAGACAGCAGCGGCGCCGCAGACTCTCGCTCTTCTTCTTCTTCTTCTTCTTCTTCTTCTTCTTCTTCTTCTTCTTCTTCTTCGTCTTCTTCTTCGTCTTCGTCTCACGGAAACAAGTCGCATTGGACCGAGAGCACCGACGAGACGCAGATGCAAGTCAAGTCACTCCCACAACCCGCATCTACTCAAGCAAACGACAGCGCGGCCAGGCGACGGACGGCGGGATAGATAGCCAGGGCCTCCGCGGCGCCTCTCTCTGCCATATCTGCTGTATAGGTGTCTAACGTACATGCATATCGAGCTGACCAGGTGTTCTCGGCGCCCGCAGGTGAACTGAAGGCTACCCTCGCTCTCTCTCGCGATACATCCAAAAAAAAAAATATCCCTGGACTGAACGTCTTCCAGCCCCTGCGCCGGCGGCAGTCAAGAGTCGACCCCCCGGCCGCCCTTTTCCAGGAGATTTCTTTTCTTTTCTTCTTCTCTTCTTCTTATTCTTCTTTTACGTCTTTTTCTTCGCTCTCCTGCTCGACAACTAAGTACGTCCTATCCGGCTCGTTGTGCTCTCCTGAAACGGGCGTCGGTCTCCCTCCTCCTCCTCCCCCCAGGATGCCCTGGAAACCCCTACCTCGCATTGCGTTCGCCGTTGCGGTCTATCCCTTCCAGCCGTCGTCGCCCGCAGACCTTCCTCTCGAGCTCGGAGATGAGCTCTACATAATCGAACAGGGCGGTGCCAGCGGCGAGTGGTATCGCGGGTACCTGGTCGCGCCGCCCTCGCTGCTGGCCGGCCTGACGAGCGTTCGCGGACAGACGCTGGAGGCCCGCGTCTTCTCCGGCATATTTCCCAAGAACTGCGTCGAGGTGCGAGAAGTGCTCGGAGACGCAGACGAGGCAAACGACCGGCCGCGGGACAGCCCGGGCGTCGTGGTCAACGGCGACTCGCGTTCAATTGCCGCTGCGTCTCCGGAGAATGGCCAGCCAGGAGACATCAAGCCGACCTCCCGCGGCCTGGCTCCGGAGGTCAAGACCGCTCGCAAACTGTCGCCGCTGACCATCCTCAAGCTGGAAGAAGATGCGACCAAGCGACGGTCGGGCATGTCCATGCAGGCGGCAGCCGTGGCCTCCCTCACTCCGACCCCCACTCCTCCTGTTCCTCCTCCTCCTCATGCTCCTCCTCCGCGGCGGAACTCCGCCGACGCAAAGCCCGCGGCCCCTGTGCCAATGCTCAAGATAGGGGATGAGACGCCTACCTCGATGTCTGAGCCGCTGGTCGACGAGATTGCTTCCTGTCTACGTGAATGGCACTCAACAAACATCCATGGGCTGCTGCTCGGCAGACAGTACGCTACTCTGGAGAGCATGTCCAACATTGTCCTCGAACTCGACCTCGCTCGGCGGCAGCTTCTACACAATGTCCTGACCGCCCAGGAGAGAAAGACGCTACGCGAAGAAACCGTTTGGAACCTGGTTCGAGGGAACAAGATGCTGAGCGGGGATGTCATCGTCCGCGATCCTGCTCAGCGTGGCCGGCTGCTGACCGGAGACGATTCAGCCATCGAACTGACCAAGCTCCAGTCCGAAATGAGCATGCTTGACGGCAAGATAACGCATCCGTCTGATACTGTCTCCCTCCACCATCTTCTCTTCGAGCTCGATGCGGTCACCGGCACCATCTCGAGCCCAATTGTTCTTGCAGTCAGCCTGTGCTTACAGTCTCCGGCCGGCGATGTCAAGCCCCTATCCGAAACATATGCCTTAGATGTCCCCTCTGCAGAGAGTTTCTCCTCCCTTGCTGTCAGCGGGAAATTAAAGACCCTGTTTACCGAGCTAAGTGCGGCAGACATAGGAGAAATATCAGGCGCAGATTCAAAACTGTTCCTCGTCGTCAAGGTCCTCAGCTGGGAGGCACCTCGAACCGTGCCATTCCTCAGCAAATCCCACTCCTCCTCCGGCTCCAGCACTAGCAGAGCTGGAGCCCAGTTTAGCAATGCAGGCAAGGGCAGCTTACGGGGTAGAAGGAGCATGATGTGGGGGCCTAAGGGTAGCAAAGGTGGACAGCCCGTAGATCCGGCAGCAAAGGAGGCTACTAATAACGCTCCACCTCGATCCAGCGACGGGACGGATAAGGAGAAACAGACTGCGGCTCCCCCAAAGAAGAAAGACCCCGTCTGTCGTATGATTGGTGTAGGAGCAATTGAAGTCGGCCCCTTAGTCAAGGCCGGCAAGTCTACCGAGCAGGTGTTCACCATCTGGTCGCCCCTGAATGAAAATGAAGAAGAAGACGCAAACACAGACGGTTTCCATGAGATCATCCGCAGCCTAATTTACAGTCCAACCGGAAGGTATACCCGGTCATACCAAGCTGCTAGGCTACACACTCACCTGTATCCATTCACCAGCACAGATGCAGACGCCCTAGTCAAAAAGAACCCTACTCTCCTCCACAGCGTTACTCAGACCAGAAGGATAGGCTTTCCTGGGGCGCCAACGAAGCCAAGGTCAGATATATACGTTACCCTCTCACGAGCGAACATCTCACGGGATGCTCTCCTCTCGCACCCAGTCCACGGCCAGGTCCCTGTGCCACAGTCGACTGGTCTCCGAAACATACAACTAACCCTCGAAGTCCGCAATTCCGCAGGCGCCAGGGTGGAAAAATGCATCTGTCCTTCATCTAACGCTACCCCCGTCATTGCCTGGAGAACTACCGTCACCGAGAGGCTTTCTAGCTGGAATCAGACTATCCGCCTGAGCATCCCGGCCGACCAGGTACCCGGATCCCACCTGATTATGAGCATAGCAGATGCCCCGGAGTTCCCGTTCGCACTAAGCTGGATGCCTCTCTGGGACCAGCAAGCATTTATCCGTGACGGACCTCATTCTCTCTTACTCCATGCATATGATAAATCCACTTCCAGCATTGAAAACGGAAAAGGAGCCTATCTATCCCTGCCCTGGAGTGCCCTCGGGAAAAATGAATGCACCAAGGACGAAGCCGTGACCGGACCTATGGCAACCTTAATAGTAGAAACTGATCTATGCAGCACTGAATATTCCCAGGATCAAGTCATGCTCGGGCTTCTCAACTGGAAGGAGAAGCCTGCCTCGGAGCTTCTGGAGCTTCTGCGGAGGCTTGTCTTCGTCCCCGAGATCGAGATAGTCAAGCAGTTAAGCAACGTCTTCGATGCGTTGTTCGGTATAATCGTCGAACACTCGGGGCATGACGAGTTCGAGGACCTTGTGTTTACCGACATCGTCACTGTACTTGGAATCCTCCATGACCGTCGCTTTAACCTTGGACCGTTGGTTGATCAATATGCCAAGGAACAGTTCAACTTCCCCTTTGCTACTCCATGCTTGATAAGAAGCTATTGCCGTCTACTACAGGCCACCCCGGACTCCCAACAATCCCGTAATCTCCGTGCCGCTTTCAAGGTCGGAAGACATATACTCAAATTCATAATCAATGCCCGAGAACAGCAAAAGGCAAAGGAAGAAGGTATTGGCATTACAAACATCCAATCAACCTTCAACCGTGACTTGACCTTCATCTTCAAGTCCGTCGAAGCATTGATGCAAAATCCTGCCCCGATACTCGTTGGAAGCAAGACCCTCGTTGTCCAACATTTCCATACCTGGCTACCAGAGCTATCCAGTGCGCTTACCAAGGATGAAATCATCGACATTGCCTTGAGCTTTATGGACTCTTGCAAGGACGTTAAAGGCATGCTTATTCTCTATAAGCTTGTTCTTATCCAGAACTACTTCCAGCTTTCTCTATTTACCGAGCAGAAGGAGCGGAAGATGCTCTATGCTCGGTGTGCCGAATGGCTTGATCCTTACTGGGGAGCCGTGTCAGAAGTTACAGACCAATACAGAGATCAGGTCCGACTATGCTCGTCTATCATTGCAGAGCAGCTGAAGCATCCGGAGCCAGAGCTTTTCGAGTACATGCCCAAAGTCGTGGCATCTTACTGTGCTATCGCAGCCGATGGTGTTGAAGAGTCGAACTGGCTTTCCCTCCTATTCAGCAAATCCTTCCCATTCCAGCTAAAACAGTCGAAGACAAGCCAGAAATTCGACGAGGCTCTTGTTGAACTTTCCGCTCTCACTGCTGCGTTGTCCGCTATACCGAACCCAGTGGAGTTAGTTATGGAACAAGACGAGATGGCTATCTTCTTATCCCGCGCATTCACGACTCACATATCAATTCTCGACTGCGTTCCCTACCCTGCATCTTGGTTAAGTTTGCGCATATATCACCATCGCTCCGTGGTGAAGAGCTTGGAACATTGGTCAGCAATGCTTATCAAATCGTTCCTCCCGCCTGTTGAGGAAGCTGATACTTTCGACATGGAATTGTGGAGACTGTTTTTCGCTACAATTTTGAAGTTGGTATCAAGTGACGCTCTTGCTCTGGAAACCTTCCCTGAGCAAAAGCGACGTGCTGTGTGGAAAATCGCTGGCGATGTCCGTGAACATGGCGCTGAGCTTTTGCGTACCACTTGGAAGGCCATTGGTTGGGAGACTACCCCTGAAGAGCGTGACCGGTTTGGTTTGGATAGGCTTGGAGGATACCAAGTTCAATATGTTCCTAGCCTCGTGCCTCCGATTATCGAGCTTTGTTTGAGCGTCCATGAGGGACCTCGACGGGTTGCTGTTGAAATATTGCAGACCATGCTTGTCAGCGAATGGCAATTGAACGAAGACCTGGCCATGATAGAAGCTGAGATAATATCCAGCCTAGATGAAACCTTCAAGACAAGGAACTTCTCCGAAAGCATCACCCAGAAGCTGTTCATGACTGAGTTGATGGAACTCTTTGACTCAAAATCCGAGACTCTCGACCCCGAGCTCATGGTGGCATTGAAGGAACTGGTTGCTACTGTTGATGAACTGCTAGATCTCCTGGCCGCTGCACACTCCGGTAATATTTCTGAGAGTTTGAATACCTTGAAGCTAATGGAGTTCATGAAGGACATGGACAAGGAGGATATCTTCATTCGTTACGTGCATGAGCTTGCTAAGGGGCAGGTTGCGGCCCGGAATTTCACCGAAGCCGGCCTTGCACTTCAATTCCATGCCGACCTCTATAATTGGGATTCCTCACAGTTGCTTCCGGCTCTTGCGATTCCCGAGTTCCCAGAACAAAGTGCCTTCGATCGAAAGGAAGCCTTGTATTTCCAGATCATTCAGCATTTCGAAGACGGGAAGGCCTGGGCACATGCTCTTGCATGTTATCGGGAACTTGCAGACCAGTATGAGCATACCACCCTAGACTTTGCCAAACTTTCAAGA